TTTTATTCTTTCTAATTCAGTCATAGGGAAGACCTAATACCACAAACAACCAATCAAATTTCTATATCATTTGTATTTTTCTGTTTTCCAGATGACTGCAGCTGCTGCAACTTACTTAGTGATACTGGTTCAATTTAGTTCATTTAGTGAGGTTAATGCTGTTCATCCATTTACGAGACACTTTGAGTATAGCAATGTAAAAACTCTGCTCTTTATGAACTCAACAAAGCACTAATTATAATAGTAATAATGATAGTAACCCTAAACAATAATTTGTATTGTAATAATAATCAACTGTGAATCTAACATAAATAAATGTAGTTATAATAAATGATTGTATATACAAATAAATATCAGTCAATATAGCAGTGAACTGGCATTTAAGGAGTGGAAGGAATAAACTGTATTTATTGCATACATTAATAAACTTTATCAGCTGTTGTATACATTTTAATGTGGTTGTTAATAATTAAATTCTTTTATTAATTGATATCTGTATTGCCAAGCTATTCTGCAATTACCTACCAGTTTATTTCAATATTTAATTAAAATTTTAAACTCTATTGCCTCTAAAGTTGTTTTATTGAAATATTTTATTCTAAACCCACCCAGAATGGGACATACAGCTATAAAAAGATAAATATCTTCTGTTGAGCACACAAACAGCATAATTTATTCTCATTAAAAAACCTATATTTATTCATGTATAACAGTTCTCACTTTAGAGTATCCAACTTATCGTGGTAGAGTCTAATTTGTCATCATTGAATAAGCATGGTTGGAGATTTAGCTCTTGATTCAACAGGTGATATTTACTATTTTTTGCTGCAAATTTAATTGGGTCATCAGGATTTATTTTATTTTATCAGTGATTTCATTTAAATTAATATTGACATTGTGGAAATCACTTAAAGAAATATCAGAAATGACATAAAATTTCCCAATATTTGTAGAAGATTGTCTTTCTTTTTATTATTTCATTAACTAATACTTTAGAGTACCTATACCGAGACAATGAAAGACATTTTTGTATATATTTTAAATGCATTGTAAAGAAAGGATTGCAGTATGTTTGTTTCTCAATATAGGAAATAATTTGAAGCATTAAACGGAAACTTAAATAATTTTTTAATGAATAATTTTAATAACAATTCAACTGAATTGCGGAAACGACTACTATAACACTTAGCTCCATAGCACATAATAACATTAAAGAACATTAAAATTAAATAAGTAGTATTTATTCGGAGTTTGAATTCTTTTCCTTTAAAATTGTTGCCACAATAAGACACAATAGTAGCAATTTTGTAAAAGCGATTCGGCTGTTTCACTTTAAAAAAATATACAATATTATTAAATAAAACAGACGATATGGAAAGTGATGGAGACATTTATAATGAGATAAATGAAAAAAAAAAAAAACGATTAGTAGTGAATTTATTTGTCATCTTGCTTCCATTTCATTTGTGGTCTACATCTTAAACTCTAAGCCTTTATGTTTTAACAGAGAAAAAATTTATAACAATTTCAACTTTATCCATCAAAAAGTTATAATCAAATTTAATAATTTTTGAACAGCTATAGTTAAGCCAAAAAGTGTTGAATGTTCAAGATGTACTGGTCCATATACTTAGCCTACTGGGAACTACTCATTTGAATTCTTCATATGATTTCTTGGAACATTTATTTGGAATAAAAACTTAGACAAATATTGATAAAAATCATGTTCTATAAGATGCTATTTTCAGATAATGAGGTCGTTTGTATTTCTAAGTTTTGGAATCTACTTCGACAAATAATAATTGACTTTAAGCCAAAAGAGAGCAGCCCGCTGTGTAAAAAAAGCAACAACACAATTTCCTATCTTCAATGGCATTAGAAAGAATGTTATAGGCACCACAGAGCTATCTATAAATTGTGTGGTAGCCACTACTATATCATTATTCCTGTTGTTACCTTAAATTAAGAAACTTATTATTAGACTAAGAAAGAATGGCCGAAGAGAAACTTTAACCCTTTGACTGCTGGAGCTCATTCGCTTGTTTCTACCAGATGGTGCATCCCGAAATCCAAAAAGATGTCCAGTAAAGCAGATTTTATTTTTTGTATATATTTGTTTAAAAGATATTTTGAGTCACCCTGCGAGATCTTAGCTTTAAAAAATGCGTTTTAATTTTTTTATTCAACTTTTAATAAACGGGACATATGTCTTCCGCTGCACATAGCAATGCGAAATTAGAGGCACTTAGACCCATAACCCTTCGCTTTCTTGCACATTTTCTCATTTCTGAAAAGCAAAGTAACTGAAAATCATCATAAAAATAACTGTAAGTGATCATAAAAATTATTTCTAAAAAAAAGGACAAAAATGACCAAATTCGAATTATATATTTCTTTGCATTTACAAGTTTTTTTCTTACATAAAAAAGTTTAGTGGATTTATAAATTTTATTATTGCACTTACATTTATTTTGAGTTTCAAACACTTCTATATTATATGAAATATATATTGTTTTTAAGTGGATGGAAAAGTGATAACAACTAAAGTATCACTTTCCTTCTGCATGTTTTTACATTTGACGTAAAATTGAGAGCCCTACTCACATATCTTTAGTACACCATAGAACACAAATGGTCATGGATCTCCCTAAGGTAAAACTCTCATTATCCGGAGATAAATTAGTCCCCCGTTTGAGTGTCTCTGGGTGTCGACTGCTTTAGGGCGCAAGTTGAAAAATAGGGATTTAAGTATTGGTCGGCGAACCTTTGGGTTCTCTAAGCCTTTTATTATTACTATTATTTATATTTTTACATTTATTAATTTTCAGTATTGCATTTTAAGTTTTGTATATTTTTACATTTACTTATTACATAGGGTGTGGTAAAAGATTTGCATACTTACTTCTAGGACTTAGCTTAGACATCTAGTCGACTTATCCTATTTACTTAATTGATTTTGTTTTAAATATTTTATGCATTCATATAGATTATAGGTTTGAAATATTGGGAAGGAGAGGGGGAAAATAATATTCTCGCCCTCTCTCTATTTTTATTGGAAGGATTTATAATATTATGCGAGGGATTTATAAGGTGATTTCCTTCTCGCACCTCTGAAGTTTGCACCTATGAAGTCATTGAAGTTGATGGTTAGTGACAAAAATAATGATCAATAATTTCTAGTTATATCTGTTTTTGGGAAATTAAATAAAATCTTCATGTAAACTTGAAAATTTATTTTCTTCTTGGCAAACCAAAATATATACCTAGTGCACAGAATTATCATTGGTTGTTTAAACAAAATTCTTTATTTTATTTTTGTGTGAAACCATTAAAAAGTGTTAGTATATTAATAGTGTAATATATTAAATACTGTTTAGAAAAATATATGGTAATAACTTTAGATGTAATCATTTATTTAAATATTTAATAGTACTACTTTAGCAGAAATTTCCCTAGTACAGTGTTAATTCAAAGTTTTATGGTACAACTAGAACTACAATATTAGTTTTTGTTCATAACCCCTAAATCAAAGAAAGAAAAACACATGGTTTATATTCTCATTCTAAAATTTAGCCGATTGCTTTAAGAGAAGCTAAGTCATTTTTATTTTCAGCGCAAATGACTATTTATTAAGATGATATAAAAAAATTAACCAATAATTAGATATATGTTTGTAAGTAATCAAGCTGATCTCCTATAGTTATATTATGGTAGCTAAAATATAGAAATATCATGATAGGATTTTGGATATCATTTTAAAAAAGGCTAAATTTCAGAGAGTAGTACAATATGAATTAAAAATAATTTTTGGTGTGGATTCTACTTATTATTCAAATTCAAAAGCATCTTCTAAACCAGTTGTATTATAAATATACTTGGATCAAATGTTTTCCTATAAAAAAAATAATCTGGTAATTTGGTAAGTAGTTTTAAATTCATAGTACTAAAAAAAATAAGTTATGTCTTATAAACTCTCCACTTGTCCTTTTCATTTGAAACCTTGGCTTTAATTATATTGCTGCTTTCGACTTCTGCTTACACAAAAGTTATAAACAAACTCCCAATGGGTTCTTTTCAGTTGAGTTCAATTGAGGCTCCGATTTTAACTTTTAAAGACCATCTGGGAGCTGGCTGAAGTTGTTAATCCTTATCTAAATAAAGGGAAGCATGGGAGGATCTATGGGGGTGCTTTCGGGCTGAACTCCCCTCCCCCCCCAAAATGGTACAACATGACCATGTTTTATGGAAATTTTTTTTTTTAAATACCCCTTAAAGTATTACTCTTCGTGTAATTACATTTAAAAGGACTTAAGGAATCACTCAAACACCATTTCATATAGGTAGTTAGTTTCTTTCTGTTTTTCCAAAGTAATTATCGTTATATTTATGAAAAAAAAAGCTTCCAGGCTGAAGCCCCTCCCCAAAAAAATTAAATCCTGGATCCCCTAGTGAAGGGAAGTGATGTCAATACTGAGGATTCTAGTTATCTTCTGATCGTGAGATTTTGTGACACCCATCTTAGTGGAGTGAAACTTGTACCCCAGAAGGTAGTGATAATCTGAAATGGAGAAGAAGTTTTCTAGCTTAAAAGAAGCAATAATCTTCTTTGATGCTAATGGATGAAGTATATTTTGACTAATCTTCGTAAAACAATACCTATTTGGAGTAAAAAAGAAGAAAAAAAAACAATTGTGTACTCATGACGTTACGAGAACGACACAATAAACCGGAATTATTGATAAAAACACCTAAAGATAGGGATCGAAATTAAATTATTTTGAAATGATTTTTGTCAGCCTAAACAGGACTTTGCTCACTATTGGTCGATGTGAACAGCATACGTCTAAACTCGACTAACTTTTTGCTAATAACAATATTGTATGTAGTATTTCATGGTGAAAAGCACGATTAGCAAAGAACAAGAAATACCTCTTTGTTCTATGACCATTAGTGACTAAACGAACAAGTCGTTGCCGAACGTCTCTAGTTTAAAGGTTATCAGAAAAATATGGTTTAGTTTTGGTAATTTCCAAAACATTATTTGAATTAAATTTTTATTTGTATGCTTCAACAAAATAAATAAAATGGCAGATGAAGAAGTAGAAAAGGTACAACTTTTACCGAAGTATTAAGTAAATTTAGTTCTCTATTGTATTTTATTCAAAACAATTTACTTATGAACAGAAAAAATAAATTGTATTCTATTCACTAATTTTCTGGTTTCTCAAAATTTCTGTAATTTCTTTCTGCTTCCACATGAAGGTTATTTCATCCAATAAATTTAGATCATGAAAATTGCTTTCTATGTTGTAATTTATTCAGTAGTTTTTAATTTTGTCCCTTATCAAAACAAGTTTCGATTTTTGTCTTTTCGAGAGATGACATTGTTTTCAGGTTTTGAGATGTGAAGTTTCATCACCAGTAGTTTCTGATTCAATAACTGAAAAGAAACTGATTTTTATGTTGAGGAAATTAGATGTAGGATGAAGTTATGGATTTTATTTATGCGGTACTGATTTTTAATATATCTATGCCCTGCCAGCATAACAACAGCCTTTTGCGTAAATAATTAAGAAGATAGAGCGGTGAGTGAAAATTATGTTTATTTATCTTATTCTTAATTCGTATTATGATGAAATATTCAATGATAAAAAAAACTTAGGTGTGATCTTTAGACCAAGCGATATAAGTGAAAACATTAAAAAGATGAAATTAATAATATGAAATATAAACTATAAATAATAGCTCATTACAAAGAAGATGAAATGCTGAACAATTCCCTTGCTTACAGTATACAGGTCCGATTTTTAATATCAGAAATACTTTAATCCATATGTTCAACTAATCTCCTCATTTGGTTTTCGACACTATTTTTTCTTTTCTCGTCCCTAACACAGAGTCGCGTTAAGATTCAATTTTGAATTATAGCCAATTATATAGAAGATGAAATGCTGAACAATCTCCTTGCCTACAGTATTCAGGCCCAATTTTTAGTTTCTGAGATATTTTAATCCATATGTAAAAACATATAAATTATTTAACTCTAGCCGACTTACCAGAGGGTTAAAACTTCGAAAATATAACAGATCATCTAATCTAACACCTCACAAAAAAATTCAAAACGCACCTAAAGAAGTTTTCACTTCAAAACCAAAATCTAATGGGGTGTACCAAATTAATGGTACACTGAAGGAATAAATATTAAAGCATTCCCCATTTAAGCCCTGTCAGAATATTTCTACGTGAATAGCACTTGCCTGATATTAATTATACAGAATTTTACAAGTATAATCTAAATTGTTAAAGCCATTTTTTAGTAAATTGTAGCTGTGAAATCCTAGGCTCAATCCTTCTTTAAATTCATAATTCCAGTTTTGTACAATTTATCATGTTTGAGCTTGACCATTCACTCAGATTATTTTATGAAACTTGGCATTTGGACTAAGGCAATCTCAAAACAGAAATTTCATTACAAACCTAATGGGCATCAATATCTCAAAATGTAAACTGTAATATTGATGTTTTATTTTTGACTTAAACTAAATGGAAAATTATGGATCAAATAGTCCTATTCCTATGAATTAGAAATAAACTAAGTGTGATGATGGTATAACCTTCCTGTGAGAGGTGTTTTACTTTGATTTTTGTTATTTAAAACAAGCATTGCATGTTTATTTCTTGTCTTTTAATGAAAATAATTTAATATTATTAAAGATTTATTATATTATGGTGCTAATTTAATTACATTTAACAATTGTATTTTATATTTCCTTCACAATAATCTTGTAAAGCTATCCCATACTTCTGATCTGAATTAAAGAATCTAAGTTGTTACCAATTAATCATAATTGTTGCTGTTGTAAAGAGTAAATTCAAACAATTTTATTACTTGTTTGATCACCATCGTATTTTATATCTGTGTATTTGTAATGCATGACATTCCACTTAAATACCAAATTGAATTATATTTACCATTATACTCTTTTATCGATGTCACGAGTAACTTTCCTGTTATTTTCAGAAAGTTTCAATTTTTGGTAAAAGCATAGGAGAAATTCCTTGCTTCCGAGACAGTTATTTTTATGGAATCTGTACCGGCTTTGTTTCGGGTTTGGGGCACTTCATGTTCACCAGCAAACCTGGGCTTTCAACTCATGTTGGAATGGGAGCTTTCTGCATTTCAACGTTAACATATTGGTATGTATAATTTAAAATTATTAAATCAAATCATTGTTCAAACAATGAAAATTTTATATGTTCAACATACAACATTAGTTCAGAATTCGTAGATTAGACATCAGGAACAAATTCGTGATGATCTTGAAAGCATGGATTTTTTTTCTTCAAATTGCCCCCTTGCATTAACCGGAAAAGCAATTTGACCGCGATCTAACCATTGGTCATGGTTATTCGGATTTTGTCAATATACCCACTTTTAATCACAGGGCACAATCTTCCTTATCAGTCATATCAGAAGGGTTTTTCAATAAATTTTCATATCTAACCTCTTAGCTGATTGCTGAGGAGTAAGTCTACTGCTCTTTTTCACCTTCCCCATTGAGAATAGATGGTGACTAACAGTATCTTTCGACACACCACACTCCCTGGCTAATTCGCGAGTACTTCTGAATGGATTTGACTCGATAGCTTCCTGCAGAACCTCATCAGTACCCAATAATGGTCGCTTGGAGCCCTTCTTCCTTCCCAACGTTGTATCTCCACTGCTAAATTTTCAAACCAATACCAAGTAGTGCGGCGGTCAAGGACACCTTCCTCATCATATTTAATAATTTTACTAATTGCTTCAACTCCTGTGAAATTTTTTTTCCAGTAATGCCTTAAAATTACAATTTCGTATGACACTGCCATGTTTCTTTGAAACAAATAACTTAACTGACGTTTTTTTTTTAAAAAGTTGAATGGAATTAAACAAGCTTAGGGGATGCTCTGAAGAGATTATTAGGTATTTAATAGGATTAAAATATTTACATTCCTTTAAAATCTTGAATTTCAAAGAACGCTCTTCTTTTTTTTTAAATACCCTATTATTTTCTATTGTGATTTCAAATATTCCTGATAGTTTCAGGCTGAAATTCGTGGAAGGGGAAATTATTTCGAAGGATTTCTTCAAATTTTACTTTAAAAATTAGAAAGATATGTGGTGTCCTTAAAAGACTGCATACTTGGACGATTGATAATGATTAGTGATCACTTTGATTGTATAATATTCATTCTATTACTCTTTTTGAAAAAATTTCTTGTCTGTCTTTATAGGTCTTATTGCCGATGGAAACACAATGAACAAATTAAACAAGCAGCCCTTATAAAAGCATTTTTACAAGAAGGTTTTGTTAAGGAAAGTGGTATTTCATCCAATGATGAAGATATGATTGCGAGTGTATAGTCTGTCGCTTTTTAATTATTTGTGCTGTTTTATTAGTCAGCTTTGAGGTCGCATCTTTGTAACTTAATGAAACAGTGTTTATATATTTGTATTGTATGTAAATAAAAATCATTATATTTTTTTTTTCAGAAATTGTTGATTGCTGAATGTATTTAATCAAATACAATAAAATAATGTTAAATTGTCATTGTTATTTATTATACATCCCAATATTATGAAATTATTGTTAATAAATCTATTCAATATTTGAATATGAATGTTAATGTGATTCCACAATTATTTTTATTCAGCTTAATCTATTTTCAAAAAATGAAATTACTTAAGGAGATGAATTATGAATAATTTCATGGTATAATATTGAATTTATTTAAATATCGATTTAATGTCCAACACAATTGGTCATCAATTAATATATTTTATTTATAATTCCAATCCTGAAGATAGTTAATAATATAAAAATGATAAGATAAAAATTGATGCAGTCCCAACATACATTATAATTAATATGCCTGAAGATTTTGTGATGGCCAAAATATAGGATATAATATAAAATATGGTGAAAAATAAAACACTAAATAATTTATTTATTTAAATATAAAAATCTTGTTATATTCATTGATATCTTATGGGATTCATCCATATCGATGCAATGTACTTCCTTGAAACAGGCGGAATTTTTCTCTTTAAGAAGCCTCATCAATTCATTGTGTTACTGTGCGGTGGTGGCATGTTATAAGGAGGGAATTGTTAAGGCATTTTCTCAGCACATGTGCCTGTGTTACAGTAGGGATGTGATGGTCCAGGAAAAGTCTTCTTATGCATTCCCTTACTTCATTTATGAATATATTAATATGTTATATATTATATTTATTATACAACAGTCTTCTTGTTCATAAATTAATTAACATGTCTTAGGTTTATAGCAAAAATACATTTCATTACTTTAAATAATTAATCCCTTTATGAAATCAGAAGACTGTGCGCTTGTTGTAACTGTATTCGATATATAAAAGGATTTGTGTAATTTTTCAGGAATGATTCATTCCATTTAAATATTTATTGAACAATTGAGGAAACCCATTTTGGCTACAGTTGGGCCTTACCGGTATTCCGTCACTAGCACAGATATGGAGCCAGACACTGTGTCTGTGAATATAGCAACAGCGGCCTGAGTGTAATAGATTTTCTCAATTTTCAAGTATCAAATTGTAAAGAAAATATTTAAATAGAATGAATAAGAAGACTTTTTCCACTGTTCTAAACCGAGACTCAGTGACAAGTCATTGCTCCGCCTGTACCATCACATCCCGATGTTATCTCTGTTGCATTTGCGACAGAAGGTCATATTTCAGAAACGGATTTCTTAAGTTTTTTATTTTTTACAAGTTTTGATATGATGTTTAAAATTTTATTACCATGAGAAAATGTGTTTCACTTTGGATGTATTAAAAAATAAAGAAAACTAAATTAAAAAACATAAATACAAACCTGCCGTTCAAATTTTCATTAACTATCTTAAAGTTTGTAAGCACTCATGCTCATGATAGTTGAGTGTATACATTGTCCTTATATTATAGTTACACTTTTACTTACCTAATTCCATTGTGACTTCAACTGAGAGATATCATAAATTTTGGTTGCAAATAGTTTTTCATTAGTAATTTATGTTTTTACTATTATATTTAAACAATAATGATGTGAATTCCATTCTATAAGAATCAAATTTATTATTATGTGAGTTTTCATAAAGTTAGCCAAGTGGCATACAACATATTAACTATCTGAAATGGGAGATATAATAAAATTATTATGTAATTGTGTAAAACTATATCGCTCTTCACATCGGTCAGATTTATACTGTCAGGACAGATCAAATTTAATGTTACGGACAATCATTAAGCAAAATGAGAAATATTTACCATCATAATTTGGTATTGCTTTCCATGTATCCGCATGTTATTTACTGCAAGGTCTTGAACCTCTAATTTGTCAAAATTATGATATTCAGAGAACCATAACTCATTTTATACTGGATCGCACGAAATTCTCATAAATAAAAATAAATTAGATAATGATCATAAATAAAATTCAAATGACAAAAGTTATAAGAGTAACATCAGAATTTTGTAATACTGTTAAAGTCCAGAATTAATTAATTGTGTAAGGAAGACAAAACAATAATTGGAAAATAAAAAGCATAAAAAACATTTAGTTCATACAAAAAATATGCACTTTATACAAAAACAAAGGTATTAAAAACAACAGAAAATTGAGATAAATATAAAATGAATGATGTTCTGTTTCATGCAAGAAACTGTAAGCATCAAACTTTCCTCTTTATTTATTTTTTATCCTTAATGAAATTTCAATATCACGAACAAAAGGCAATTTTTTTTATTTTTATAATTTTTTTTTTATAAAAGTAAATATTAGCAATAAAAATTCCATTATTCAGTCTGTCAGTTGCCATTACGAATAACAAGACACAATCCTACAGTATGCTACTTATTCTTAGAAAATTAATTGAGCTTTTTTCTAAGCTGAACATTACAGCTCAATTGACAGTTCTAATTTACTCGTTAATGAGCGATCAGCTACACACTGTAGTCTGTAGGTTTGAAATATTCCCTACACCGCTCATGGTATATTTTTAATGACCGATCTTTCACAACTTCTTCCACAAAAAGTTCATTTTTCAGCATACGTAACTAAAACAAAATTCCAATATTACAATCGATTAAAATAAAAAAGGAAATGATGCTATTTCATTTCAAACATAGCATTTTTTTTTTATTATTGAAGAAAAATAATACTATCTGCCACAATCTAGGGCATTGAGCATTATGTTGACATTCATACATTTTATATACAATTTAAAATATAAATTGAGAAAAATAAAGATAAAATAAGAATACATGAAAGTAAAAATATATCCATTAAAATAATAGAACTTGTAAAAAGGAAAAAAAGTACTTGACACACATTCATTCCTATGTACAATATTTACATTCAGCCTAGGGAACACTGAACCATGCCTTGCCGCCCTCACGTGAAAGGCAAGGCAGGGCTCTAGGAGATCCCAGCACTTCTCTCCCAGCCGCATAGCTGTTTAAAAGCCAGTGGAGACAGAGTGAGAGCGCTAAATCCACATAAGCTCAGAACTTGAGTGGAGAAGCTGGCCACTGCCAGAACTCCAATGGAATATTTATAATAGAACTCGGGGCCATTGTCGTTTCAACCTTCATGGGAGATTATATGGATGGTTGGAACTGGAAAGGGATTAGGATGATGGATAAGTTTTTGATGAAAATTTGAGAATTTGGATCGAATTATGTCGAGGAAAAAGGGAATGTTGAGATCATAATGTAAGATTTTGTTTGTGATGTAGCATGGAGCATTAACTATTGTTTAGAGGACTTTAGATTGAAAGGATTGGATACATTTCATGTTCGAAGATTTAACATCCTATGATACTGTTGAGGTGTTAAAAAACTGTATTACACATCTACAAGACTTGTACTATCTTTGAGACAATAAATACATAACCAGCCAAGAGAAAGTAAGACTCCGCATCACAACACGTAATGAGTTCCCTCAGCTTATTAATGAGGATAACTCCATATAAAATAAAACCAGTGTGTAGAGGTGGAAGAGATAATTTCAGATAAGATAACACTTTATACTATAACACTTCTATAAAAAAGTTCTAAAAATTTCTGTTAATCGACAGTATGTGGCAAACAGAGATTGTGATGGTCAAGTGCGGTAAGATATAAATTTTAACATTGTTTAATCTGACTAAGCCGGTTTGAATATGGCCTAGGCAGGTTAAAATTTATTTATATTGAATATTTCATAGTTGACTGTTGCATTATAAAGGAAGGAGATGGTCCGGGGTGGCAGTCATAAATAGGCTAAATAGTGGCAAAACTATTTTTATTAAAAGCTGACGTTTCAACCCGACTTTGCAGGTCTTCTTCAGGGCTAGAACGGACAGGATACATAAAGATACAGAATTGTGGCAGTTACATAATATTTAGACAAAATTTATAAACAATGTGAATAAGCTTATTGAAATTATAAACAGTATTCTTTGTTCATATTTTAATGTACTTACTGTTTATAATTTCAATAAGCTTATTCACATTGTTTATAAATTTTGTCTAAATATTATGTAACTGCCACAATTCTGTATTTTTTTGTATCTTATCCGTTCTAGCCCTGAAGAAGACCTGCAAAGTCGGGTCGAAACGTCAGCTTTCAATAAAAATAGTTTTACCACTATTTAGCTTATTTATGACCTCCACCCCGGACCATCTCCTTCCTTTAAAATTTATTTAGTTGATATGAATTTATTTATTAATCAAGACATGAATCTCGATCATACCACTCTGGTTATAATAGGTTTTGTTGTACCTCTAGAACAAGACCGAAGTCATTAATTGAAATCTAAAGATCTAAATAATACTGCGAAGGCAGACGATGGACTGATGGAAAGATGCGAAGATAGAGGTTATACTGTGAGATCTTGGCTTACTGGGCAAGGTGGAGGAACATTTGCACAAAGTTACCCATTCCTTATCATATGACGACAGATATCGCAAACATTTGCCAAATTTTGAGGCTGCGTTAATATAAGTTTAGTCTCATAGACTGAAAACTTTGACAAATGTTTAAGAAAAAGATAGTTTTGAAAAGTATACAAAATATTTTAAAAGTATCACTCCAACTTGATGGAAGAGCACAACAAAACAATGAAGATGGAATTACGAAAATGATATTACTAATCATCTTTCTTTATCTTCATTATCTTTTACTGGATCACACAGATCTTTTATAGTTTAAACTGAGGCCTTATTTAGCTCTAATTCAAAAACGATTTTATTCTGTTGAGGTTGAGGCTTTACCAATAAACAGTTTGCCTCCCTGTGCTAAGACAAACTCCATGAGCTTCATGAGGATAATAGTGACTATATCTCAAGCCTTTACAAGCTGCGAAGAAGGTGACGCCACAGTTCCCATGTGTAATTCAAACAGATTTAGTTCTGTAAGTTACCAACTTCTTTACTGTGGTGTAGAAAACCCTTCTACGATGATCAAAATACACAAAAATGTTTGTACAAAGTTATCTCTTACCATTGAAATATTCAAGCCACTCTCTTTCAATACTTACAAACAGAAAAGGGTAACAACTAACCTTAGTTTGTTCCTTACTTAGTAGCTTATTAACTCCCAAATCATCACCACTCTCTTTCTTTCTTTTGAGTTCATTAATTTTATCCGATGTAACATTTATACATTGTCTTATAGACTGTTCACGTTTATCATAATTAGTTTTTAACTGAAAATTTTAATTTAGAATTACAGAATGTTCAAGTAATCCATAATGTTATCTTTCAAGCTTCTTTTCATATTACCTACATCATTATATAATTGTTTACAATTTTGTGTTGGATCAATTTCACCCCTAAAGGAAGGTGTTGGTATGTTCACATTTAAGGCATATACTATTTTATCATCCAGATCTCTCATTTTCTTAAGAGCATCCTAGAAATAAATGCAACCAAAATAAAATTTATTCTTGCTGCAGATTACACAAAAGTGTTTCAATATTTGTACCTGAAATTCCAAAAAATCAGCGCATTCCATTACAACCGTTTATTATGTTTTGACTTAATAGTTAAAATTTTCAGAAAATTTAGTTAAAGCACATGACAGAAATTTTGATTATTTGAAAAATTGGGGTTATAATTTCCACTAATCGATCTAAGAGTGCAAAGAGGTAACAAAAGAAACATCCATATAAGAAACATCAAACATGCCTCAATTTTTAAACTCTAAATCCTGTAACCAAATCACTGTAAAGAGAGAGTGAAATATGAGTTAATATTATAAATTAGGTTGAAAACGAAAATTCCTATAGGATGAAAAAGGTGGGTATAGTTCTACCGATCCATAGTAAAAACAAAAGAAAAAAACCTGAATTGTGGGAACCACAGGAAAATTAAACAGGGCAGAGAGAGAAACCAAGAAACCAGCAAAGGAGGAGTGAAAATTCAAGAAGAATTATAGAAGATCACGAGAATATATAAAGAAATACACAGATTGAAGCGTTTGTAGGTGTTGCAACGATTACGTGGGGGAGGGGTGGCGAACAGGCTAACGCTTGCGCACAGCACAACGTTTCCCGGGAGCCTGATGGAACATAATTTGATAAAATAATTATAGGTTCGCATCTCGGTTGACTCGGAGGTGAGAGAGTCCGCCTGAGTGAGGAGGTTACCTACCTAGGAGTGAGATTCAAGACGAAGTTTAATGTATCTCTCCAGATTGAACACTTGCGGAATAGGGTGACCCTGTCACTGAATGGCCTGACCAGGATAGGAGGTGCTTTTGGGGGCCTCAGGTACCCGGCCGCGAGCGTCATCTACAAGGGAGTCGTGCTGGGTATACTGAGGTACGCACCCCCGGCGTGGAGCTGCCTCCTGGATAAAATCCAGCAGAAGAAGATGGCCACCATCCAGATACTTGCCCTACTGAGGACAACAATGGCCTACAGGACGAGTGTTGGACGAGTGTCCCACGAAGTGGTCCAGGTACTGGTCGCAGCGATGCCCCTGGAACTAATCCTCAAGGAAGATACCATCAAATTCCACATCAAAAGGCAGGGGCTGGACACGCTATTGGAGGGACTCCGTGAGAAAATTGGTGAGAACCCGAGCCATTGGCTTATCAGGAAGGAGTCCATTGAAGAGTGAAACAGACAGTGGTTGACAAGCCCGAAAAGATCTATCCTCAGGAAGTTATTCCCCACCGTCCATGCAGGATTAGATGCGGTATGGGTCCTCCCTGATTACTGGGTCTCGCAGGTTCTCACAGGACATGGAGGGTTCCGGGGAAAACTTGCTGCCCACGGAAAGAATATCGACCCCCCGGTGCCCTGCCTGCGGGGTCTCTGAGACGACCGAACACATCCTAATATCCTAAGATCCTAGATCCTGCACCGGGATGAAGTAACGCCGTGCTACATTGCTGAGAGGGATGGGAATGTATACCCTGACGGAAGAAGATTTTCTTCACTTGGTGGAGAAGGAAAATTACCCGCTCTTTCGGGAGTTTATGTATGGACGGAGAGATACGATCGGCCCTCCACATTTCTCCCTGGAAGCGGAAAGAAGACTACCTGAAGAGGCTGAAGAAGAACTCTGAGGAAGGACCGGACGGATGCGGTGCAGACAAGGTGCGGCTCCATCGTAAAAGTGCTCAACTGTGTACCAGGCCGCACCATAGTTCACCCAGTTCTTTTTTATGTTTTAAAATTTAAAAAAATCCTAAAATTATATAAAAAAGAAGAGAAATCATTATTAATAAAGTGTTGCTTATTAGTAGCAGTGGGCATACAAGAACCCAAACGTATTAACTCACTGCTGCCAAAGCAGCAACGCCAGGTAGGGTGAATAAAAAAAAATTCGATCTCGGTGCCCGGTGGAGCTTTTGACTCTGGCATTAATCTCTCGCCCTCATACCCTGGTTCGGGAAAAACCCGTATGACCTATAAGGCATGAGGAAGGAGAGAATAAAAAAAAAAAAGGTGAGATTACAGGAAGCCAGTTCTATCATTTATTGTCGGAACTTAATGAAGATTAGTTATTAGTCGTACAATAAAAATAAGATGGTCAGTTTGCAATTATTTCGGCCTTAATCGTTAATAATAATATTAAAACAATTTAGTCAAGCGATGCTTATAAATTTCTTTTTATTTAATTTATGAGGCTTTTAATGTCTCCTTGACTTACTTTAAGTGTTCAGCGCTGATCCTTTTCCAAACAGGAACGCTACCAAACCTAGAAATTTAATTAGTATTGATTAACTTATAAGGTATAAGCAACTTTATGAATACATATCTAACCGATTAATTGATCGTTACCAATTGAAATTTAACTTATTACTTCATTTGTGAAAGTTAAAAATCGATATAGTTATTTAAAATATTTGATGCGTCTGTACAATTATTTAAAGTGTACTAAAATATTTAAACTTATTAAAACATTCGTAGACTGATAAATATTTATGATGACAAAGTTAAAAAATTCTAACCTTTGATTACGTTGATCTCGGCAAGACTGTGTTCTCCTGAGATGGTTAGAAATATTAGTTGCAGAGTTCTTTCTGCAAAATTTTATCTTGCATGAATAGATAATTTTTTTTTCTCATTTTACACAGAGATGTGGTATCAATCATTTTAACACCTATAAAAAAAAAGTTAATTATATTTATACCTGGTTACCGATGAAGATTTCGGGAGTATCTGTCCATATTCTGGAATATCCTCCAGTTTCTCATTCTGGGAAGAGAGCCATTCTCCCCCATTCTGAAAAATAAATAATATATCAAATAGAAATCATTATTTGGTTCGTTGAGAAAATAATGGTTTTAAAAATTGAAAACATTTGTTAAAGATAAATTTGAATTATATAAAAATATACAGGATGTCTCATGAAGATTTAAGAGCGTATTACTCATTCAGAAAAAAAAAAATCCAGTGACCTATGGAGATATATTTTCACTCTTTAAGAAGCACAATTCCTAAAATACGATATTTAAAAAAAATCTAAGTTAAGTTGAATTTCGGTAATCTAACTCTGTTAAGCACTAAAATTTATTATTTTAGTTTAGGCAAAAGTCTAATGTATACCTCATCAGAAAGTGGTTTCTTGTTTCTAGCTATCTTTTTAATGATAGAAGTCAAGAGCATCGTACTGATACCATTGTTGTGACGCAAATCAAACACCGCAATGTCATTGTTGACATCCAGAAGTCTTAGAACAAGCTTTGCTCCTTCGTTTGTTACGTAGCAGTTCTGCATATCAATTGCTAAGCAAAATAAATAATAGTTTAAAAAATATTTCAGAGATAATATGATAACCAAAATATGTTATAGTAGGATAATAAACAGGCAAAGTATAGTTTATTTTTAAGAATTATATGTTGACGATGGATAAAGTCACTAACACCTGGAAATACGCCGAAAAACCCAGAATTCGTAAGAAATAAGGAATCACAGGGTCCAGGGGCCATGTTGGAATCATATTGACTACTGTATTACGAAACTATTAGAAAAACTCTGACTAAAAATATAACAAACCTTTGATCCAAAAGTCATCATAAAGGCAATCAACAATATGTTCGAGGCCTTCGTCAGTGATAAAATTGTCGTTTAACGTGAGCCTAGAAAGGCCGAGAACTTTTTTCTTGTCAACTGTTCTTCCCCTTAAAGATCTGATCCAACAACTAATTCCTCTGGACAGTGCCTCGTGCTAAAAATTTTAAAAGCAACTGAACTGAAACAAATTTTATCTATAGTAAGTGTTACAGACCCCTTTTTATCAACTTATTAACATACGCCTGAAACTTCGTAAATAGCTTCATATCATCGTAACCTACAAATATTTTATTTACGAAAATTCTCTGAATTGGAGCGTTTTCAATCTGGAGATCGTCAAACTTTGTATATTTAATTAGGTACTAAAATCTCGTAATTACTCATTTGCTTTCCGCTAGAATCGTATGATAATTTAAGCACAAACTCGAAAAAAAAATTGTGGTCTTCAAAAAATATTGAGCCGTTTGCCGTGACCTACTTCCCCAAAATGTCAAAAATAACGAGGTTGTATAAGCCTAACGGTCCAATATTTTTATAGGCTACCTTTTTTCTCTATTTTGTGGTCAAATTATCTTACGGTCCAAGTGGAAAGCAAATGAGTACATACGAGTTTTTAGTACCTAATTAAATAAACCAAGTTTGCCTACATCCAGTTTGAAATTGCCCCAATTCCGAGAGTTTCCTTAATTAAAATATTTGTAGATTATCATGACATTAAGCTATTCCCGAAGTTTTAGGCAGATGTTAATAATTTGATAAAAAGGGGTCTGTATCACAGACTACTAATAATAAATTGAGAAATCTTAAGTAAGGGCTTTATTGCAAAACTATTCAATTATGTTAAAGCACTAGTTTAGAAATTAGCACTAGCAAAAATACAACCTTCAAAAGATTGGAAATAGCTACAGCTCCTTCAGCTGTGATCTTGTTTCCAGAAATGTCAAGCGTAGAAATGGATGGTGCCTTAGGTAGAGAATTGCAAAGAATCTTGCAACATTCATCCGTCAAGCCACATTCTTGAAGAGAAAGGTGTTGAATCCATCGTGCTGTGGACAGGGCCTAACATAACGTAAGTTGTTGAAAGGGTTAATTTGCTTAAGAACATATTAATTTGAATTAAAATAAAACTCAAGTTATATCACATTGTGAATGAGGATAAGTACATATCGACAATAGCACGAAAAAATTATATATCTATTTCACCAGATTTTAAAGGAGCCATAAAAAAACTAAACTAATTGTAAGGAAAATTATAGACTTACGAGTTATATCTGCAAGCTGAATAACAGCAGGAAATAGAGCACATTTCTCCATTTTAAGGCTAATCCAAAGCAAACTAGTTAGCTGTAGTACCAAATGTATGCTTCACAAGACACTGAAGCCAATCGTCATATACGGTGGAGAAACGTTAAGCAATAAAAGTTTTGCTGCTAGACAGGTTTGAAAAGGTAATTCTGAGAAGAATCTTAGTGTCCGTATCCAAGAATGGTAATTGACGAAGAAGTAATGTAACAGCAATGTAACATTTCCTCGTATATCAGGATACACAGGTTTAAATGGTTTGGCCATGAGGAGGAGCGAGGAAAGAGTAGCTCACTAAGAGTGGTTAAGGGCCAATGGAAGGATGCTGTGGGGCAGGATCTGCGACAACTGAGGGTTCCTGTTACCCTTACAGAAGATAGAGGAAGATGGTTGGCGGCTGTTGAGCATGCCAAGAGCAGCTTTATGTCCCTTTGTGCCAATATAAGAAGAAGAGTATATCTGTGGCTGCGAAAGGGAACAGAGATAAGGATTCTACTGTCGCGTCAGGTATTATTAACACTTACGAGTTTTTTTATAGGACTTACGATGTTTTCTTGTTCAACTGTGTCGATGCGCTTTATCTCTTGGGTTGATTTTTTCATGACTTCTGGCATTAATATCCGAACATTTAGTTTTTAATCGTAAATATGAACAAGTATAACGCGTTAAATTCCTAACGAACAAGTAAGCAACCAAGTTCAGTCAGTAATATTTCAATTTAATTCGAATGAAAGTTCATAGATTCGTTGAAATGTAGAGCGTAATAATCGAAACAAGATTAATTATGTATTTTAAAATGTATTCAAGATCAAAATTACCTCGGCTAGAAGTTCAATCTGTTTCTTTCCTAAAATTATTTTCTTCAAGATGAGGACAGTAAGGGAATCGTTATAAATAAGATTACATTTTATGGCAAGAAACAGCTTCAAATCTATTTCCTTGCTTTGGTTACCTGTAAAATCGTAAAAAAAAAAAAATAATCATGATATTATGCAGATAATATTTAAATTTTACCGACATTTTGTTTTACAATTGTTTTCCAAACATTGAACATCATATAACTTAATGGATATAATTATGGATAAGCATGTAATAATTCTCGATGCAAAACGGGAAATGAATGATAATTAGAATATGATGACAATTTTCAGTCTATTTACTACTATCTATTAACTAGTTCCTTGAGTTAGTTTGAATGAACTACATGCATATACTGAAATATGTCATTAGACATTTTTTTTCTAATCCAAGTTGTGAACTGGCGCTCAGTGCGCAATCGGTAATCTCGTTCAGTTAGTGACTTGAGGTGTTTCAAAATTTAATGATTGGCTTCATATCAAAGATGGAAATCCATCATTTTCAAAATATGAAGTAAAGATAAAGTCAAATTTATTCTTCCCTATATTTCACAAACCTGGACACTAACTAAGGCAGATGAGAAAGGTCTCCTAATTTCTGAAAGAAAAATATTGAGAAGGATATACAACCCTTTTAGAGAAAGTGGAGCAAGGAGAAGAAGAAGGAAACATGAACTCTACAGCTTGTAAGGAGACATTGATTTAGTGCAGTTCATCAAGGTGGACAGGCTCAGTTAGGCAGACAATGTGGCACGCATGGCTGAAGAGAGAATATCCAAAAAAGTAATGGAGGAGGTGCTGGACCGAACAAGGAGAAGAGGAAGACCCAGGTTGAGATGGATCGACGGTGTGGCAGCAAACTCGAGGACGATAATTCACCAACAGACTGGAAGACGGCGGCGAAAGACCGATCTGGATGGCGGAAGCTTTTAGAGGATACCAAGACCAACCCCGTTTTATAGAAGCCAACGAAGTAAGTAAGAAGCTATGTTACAGAAAGTTGTATTTTTCTCAACTTTAAAAAAAAAAACAGATGACTATCTGTGATGTTATGCCACTCAAATGATAATTACAAAATATCATATAGTAGCTAAATTGTGTTGGACTTCGAAAGTTATCCTCCAAAAACACTAGTCTATCTCAACAGAATGTAAATCCATAGAATTTGAAATACCCTCCAAAAAGTACTTACTAAGTTTCTCAATTAGATTCACAACTTAAAATTAACCTAATTTTAGGATTAGAATGTGAAACTTTGATGATTTATTCGAAGATAAGTCCTTTTACTATATTTTTTTAGTAACAAAAACATCAGACACACGTCTGAATAAATTTTATTAACTTAAACTTTAATTAGGCGACATGTATGTACTTTTTAAAATGTTAAGAGATTCTCTAAATAGTACAATCGTTGTGTTACCAACTTTTCACGTAGTTTGTTCTAGGTTATGTATTTTAGATAATGTAACACCACAATAGATTAAATATAACCTCCAGGAGACTCTAAGACAGCTTCTGTAAAATTATTCCTTTCAAGATCTATATATTCACAAAACCTAATAAGTGGAGTGCAATGTTCAAATATTAAAGTTATTTGTCCTTATTTTTTGTCACAATGACGACAGTAATATCATTACAAGAACTTATCGGCGGAAGAGGCATTTGTTGTTTTGGAGAAGATATTGAAAAGATTTCCCATCACCAAATTACAATAGAATCGGCGTCTAAACCGCCAGTATTCCTCTCACATAGCAACATTGAAGAAAGATAATATACTGAGTACCTAGAGATAACGAATTTCTCTATGAAACTTTTCCGTAATGAAAAACCATGTTGCAAGATATTATGTTTGATACTTGTAGTTTGAAGCAGGAAGGAAACACCATAACTGGAAGAAAATGTAACAATAGGTATATACCTAGAAATGGGTTATTGAACCATCACGAATCTTGTCTAGAGAAAATATTATCAAAACAATCACTATGAGATTTTAATGACTGATTGTTAATATAGTCCGTGGCACTGACCCATTTTTGTCGAATTATTAACATCTGGCTGAAACTTTGTAAATAGTTTCATCTCATCATAACCTACAACTATTTTATTTACGAACACTCTATAAATTGGGATGTTTTCAATCTAGAGGGGGACAAATTTGTCTATTTAGTTAGTTACTAAAAACTCGTAAATACCCATTTGCTTTCTCCTTGGATCGTAAGATAATTTGATCACAAGATCTATATAAAATGTGGCCTACAAAAATATTGGGCCGTTTGTCCAACATAACCTCGTTATTTTGAAAATTTGTGTGTGTAGGTCACGCCAAACAGCTCAATCAATATTTTTGAAGGGCACGTTTTTTATCGGTCTTGTGATCAAATTATCTTAAGATCCAAGTAGAAAGCGAATGGGTATTTACGAGTTTTTAGTACTTAATTAAATAGACAAAGTTTGCCCCTCTCCAGATTGAACACGCCCCAATTCCAAAAGTTTACGTTTTAGGTTACGATGAGATGAAACTATTTAAAAAGTTTCAGGCGGATATTAATAATTCGATAAAAAGTGGTCTGTACCACGGACTAATATATTAGAAACAAAACGATAGAAGCACAAACTTATTTAACCTTAAAAAATAAATAATATTTATATTTAAAACTTACTTGAATCGTAAAGTTCAAGGCAATGGACGCGGTTGTTCTTCTGATGGAGCAAATTACTTAAATCTACTAGCTCAGGATTGTCGGCATTTACTTCTAAGGATACATAATTTTCATTAAGCGCTCTAAGTCGAGTTGTCTGATCAACTGCCAACATTTTTCAGCTTATATCTATTACTTATATTTTCAGCTGCTAAATATTTTTCTCATAGTTACATACTTTCTCATAGAACAGATGTTATCATATTCGGATGGTTCAGAAGTTTATTATGGAAGGATGGGTATCTGAATTGAGCTAAATCGGAAACATATGGTATATAAAAGTCGGTATAGATGATTTTATTTGTCACAAAGTAGGGAACGTTGAGGATTTTACGAAGGATTTTGGATTGTAAGGATTGGATACGAGAGGAATTTAATAGTTTAGTAGAGCTCCAAAGCTCGAACCCGTAAGTCCAAATAGGCCTTGTTATAGTAATATATATGAGTCTTTTGTAAATAGTTGGATGTTTGGAACATTTTTCTAGTGTGTGGTGTAGTAGTCGAAAACGTCGAGCTGTTTCTAATCGTTTCAGTCTGGTATGAGGGTCCCCAAAAAATTAAATTATACAATATTAAAATGAAATAGACAGCGTTTAGAGATAGTTATTCTCTAACAAATGTAATCGAAAATTCCATTTCGTCAACGAATTCCGTGGTACAGAGCCCCTGTTTATCAAATTATTAACATCCGCCTGAAACTTCGTGAATAGCTTCATTTCATGGTAACCTACAACGATTTTATTTATCAAAACTCTTGGATTCGGGCATTTTCATTCTGGAGACCGAAAAAATTTGTTTATTTAATTAAGTACTCAAAACTCGTATATACCCATTTACTTTTCACTTGGATCGTAAGATAATTTGATCACAAAATCGAGGGGAAAAAAGTGGCCTACAAAAATATTGGGCCGTTTGGCCTATATAACCTCCTCCTTTTGACGTTTTGGGGCTATGGTCACGCCAAACGGCTCAATATTGCTGAAGGCCACCTTTTTTCTCGAGCTTGTGCTCAAATTATCTGACGATTCAAGTGAAAAGCAAATGGGTATTTACGAGTTTTAGCAGCTAATTAAATAGACGAAGTTTGACAATCTCCAGATTGAAAAAGTACCAAGAATTTGCTTAAATAAGATACTTGTACGTTACGATGAGGTGAAGCTATTTACAAAATTTCAGGCGGGTGTTAATAATTTGATAAAAAGGGGTCTGTACCACGCACTAAATTCTATTGACTATTGGTGTAATTGAATAAATTTTAGGATTCTATTTATTCTGGTGAAAATTTAGAAAAAACGTCAAGTTTTACTCAAAAATAAGCATTTAACATACAAATTAGTTGAAAATAACAACAACTTATTCTAAGTACTTACCAAATGTGGTCGAACTTAACAAACAGAAACGTTACTAAAATAATGAAGATTAATAAACCAACAAATTAAACCTAGTGGGAATGATACTTACCTCGAAAATAAAAGATTTATGAAATTTTAAAATCCAAACCACATCTGCTTTGAAGTTGCTTAGCTCTTAGGTGTTAACATCATTCAGAGGAAAAGACAAATGATACATATTTATTCTTAGCTTCATGCTATCTCAATATAAAATTTGAAATTTACAAATTATAGATACTTACTAAAGCGTTATTAGTAATATAGTATATCTTTAGTAGCGGGGTCCAGGATGTAATTTTGCTAGAAGGGATTTAAAAAAAAAATTATAACGGTACGAAGGACGAAAAAGGAATAAACTATACTCAATTATGTTTTCTTCACTAATCACACATTTTTGACTATAGGTGTTTTTGTTTCAAGCACGGGCGGATCTAAGGGAGAGGCTTTCGAGATGAAGCCCCCCCAAAATGTTAAAATATAACCATGTTTTATCGAAAAATTATTAAAAAATGATTGCTTAAATTATAATTATTCGTGTAATTACATTTAAAAGGGCTTTGTGAATCACTTAAACGTCATTTCATATAGGTAGTTAGTTTCTTTGTTATTTGCCAACGTAATTATCGTTATTTTTGGAAAAAAAAAGCTTTCGGGCTGAACCACCCCCCCCCCAAAAAAAAACTAAATCCTGGATCCGCTAATGGTTTCAAGAGAAGAAAGGAGATTAATGCCAGAGTTCGAAGTTACCGGTACCTGGCTTCGAACTCGTAATCTTCAGTTAGTTAGCTGTGATATCTGCGTTTTGCCCGAGCGTTAAACCGCTCGGTCACTCCCATTTTCTTCCTTAAAAACACACTAACGGATCCAGGATTTAATTTTTTTTGGAGGGGCTTCAGCCTGAAAGCTTTTATTTCATTAAAATACCGATAATTACTTTGGAAAAAAAGAAACTAACTACTTATATGAAATGGTGTTTAAATGATTCCTAAAGTCCTTTTAAGTGTAATTACACGAACAATAATACTTTAAGAGATAATATTTTTCCATAAAACGTGGTTATACCTTCATCTCCTAAGCCCTCTCCCATAGATCCGCCAGTGAAAAAACATTACAAACAAAAGTAGAATTAGAAAACTCTATCTTTTACAGAATTATATTTCCTGTAGTCTGTTCCAAGTTTTCTCTCGTTTATCTGGTTTGATAGGTACTTAAAATGGAAACCTCTCAAAAATGGTTTTCTACAATGATTCATAACCTCTTCAAAATGAGCCCCAAAAAATTTTGATTACATACGGGAGTGGGAGAGAGGGGGGTTATTCTTTAGGTACAATCAAACACTAGCGGATCCAGGATTTAATTTTGGGGGGGGGCTTCAGCCCGAAAGATTTTTTTTTCATAAATCTTCATAAATATAATTTGAAAAAAAAGAAAAAAATTAACTACCTATATGAAATGGTGTTTAAGTGGTTCTTGAAATCCTTTTAAATGTAATTACACGAACAATAATACTTTAAGAGATAATTTTTTAATTATTTTTTTCCATAAACCATGGTTATATTTTACAATTTTTTTTTTGGGGGGGCTTCAGCCCCTAAGCCCTCCCCCATAGATTCGCCAGTGAAGAAACATTACAAACAAAAGTAGAATTAGAAAACTCTATCTTTTACAGAATTATATTTCCTGTAGTCTGTTCCAAGCTTTCTCTTATTCACTGGTTTGAAAGGTAACCTCATCAAAATGAGCCCCAAAAAATTTTGATTACATACGGGAGAGAGAGAGAGGGGGTTATTCTTTAGGTACAACCAATAAATAAAAAAATATTATATTTAGTTAATCAACAATTAATATCGAAATGACGAAATAATAAATCGATACATTATTTTTAATTTCAAATGCAGTATATTTCATTACATCAAGTATATTTCGTATACTCAAATAATTAACACTTCAGGGTAAGCAACGAACATTATAAGTTCATGGCTGAAGGAACAATTGAAAATGAACCAAAACTAATGTCGATGGGAAGATATAGGTTAATGGTAAAAAATACATATACTTACAACATAATAATCTGGGATTAAGTTTTATCAATCTTTTGTTTTGTGTCTCCTTATAACCATAGATATCAAAACGTTTCCTCATGTAATCAAGTTGTTTTGTTTTTTCATTGTAGCCTAACATTTCTCATACTATGAAATGAAATGAAATGAAAAAGTAAATTTCATTCTGGGGCATTTAGCTCCCCCTAAGAATAATTATAATGAACAATTTAGTGACATTTCTCTAGCATACAAGTTAATCATATTCTTGTTGTTAATTGAATTAAATTGCTATTGAGTCTTTATATTAAAATAAAGAAAGGCACAAGTTAACATCTTAATTATAAGTAGGTGTATGAGTTTGTTTACACCTAGACAATGGATAATATGTATCTGTAAGAAGATAGTAAAATGAGGTAACAGCTCTAAAAATATTACTCTTACATATATTCTGAGGATTGGTAGCTGAGGAGATGGATAAATAAATGTTGTTTAAATGTGGTTATGAGGATTTGCGTATGGAAGTAGGTAAGGAATTCCAAAACAAGGTAGCGCATATGAGAAAAGATTTTTTAAAGGAACCAGTTCTATGGGAAGGAATAAAAAATGTTGAATGTACAGAGGAGCAGGGAATGAACAGATCAAGATGGTAAGGTTTTTTTGTTGTAAAGGTTTAGAAAAGGAAAACAACTAGGAAATATTGCCGTCGGGAAGCTGGATAGAGCCACTTCAGCTGGAGACATGGGAGCACCTGGGAGATCCAAAGATGCAACAATTTATTAGTCTCTTCAATATGATCTTGAGCCCACCATCCATTGTATACAAGACAGCCATAATTGGAGTGATGGAAAGTGAGAGAGGAAACTAGGAGCTGACGGGTTTTTAGCGGTAAAGAAACCCCCGGGATGTTAGGAATTGTTTTAAGGTAACAATAAATTTTCGGATAATTTGGGAAATATGATTGTTCCAGGAGAGGTATTGATTGAAAATTACTCCAAAATTTCTAACGGGATCATAGAAATAAATAGGTAGTTCATTGAGGTAGAGTAGAGGATAGTAAGGGATGGAATTGATAAAATGCTTGGAACCAATGAGTATGGCTTTGGTCTTCTCAACATTCAACTTTAAATCATTGCTCACTGCCCAAATAGTAATACCATCTATATCTTACTGTATCCGTCGTATCGCTTCAAGCACCTCGGTAGGATGGAAGGAAAGGTAGATTTGAAGGTCGCCAAGGTTGTTGATTTAGATGGAGAAAAGAGTTGGAGAGAGCGAAGATCCTTGTGGAACACCACGAGCTAGTAAGAGGGGGGAAGGAAGGAGTTTTATCGGGAATGATGACTGTTTGGAATCTGTGATACAAGAAGGAATGGAACCACTTTAGGACGCTATTTGATGTGGAAAGGTTTTGGAGTTTGGAAAGAAAGATTTTATGATTAACGGAATCGAAGGCTTTTGAAAAATAAAAGAGGACTAGGATAGAGATTTTCTGTTTATCAATGGAGAATTGAAGGTCTTGGGTGATTTTCAATAAAGCAGATTGAGTGGAGAACTGGGATTGCAAAACCAGTCTGTATTAAAACGTTAGAATGGAAAAGGAAATCCCTAAAAATTAAGAGAATCAGAAATTGATCGGAAACATTAAAATGCGAAGAATGAACAAAGAATAATTGTGTTGATTATAGATGTGAATCATTTTAAAGGTTATTAATTGTATAAATTTCATCTGAAGACAAATCTCACTTGGAATAATTATGTGCTCTGTAAATCCAGCTAAGCCATCCATCGTATCTTTTTTCACAAAATTAATGATACTTAAATAAATTTGTATCCCTACATTTCTAACCAATAATTTTCTAATTATGTCAATTAAAAGGAATTATCCTGCCACTTAAATTTCTGTAAAAAAACTTCATGATCATTTCAATATAAAAAGGTAGATAATTAGAAATAAATTACTGTTTGATAAGCCATGAATCCTAACCATCCAAAATTCAATGATGATTAAATAGGAAATTTTGTTACTATTTAGAAGTGAATTCAACCCCTGAAGTTTGTACTTGCCCATTACATTTCTTATGTAAAATACATGGGTCTTCTGGTAATAGCCAGTATCGTACTCGTAATATCTAATATCTTATTTTTTTTGTCTGAAACATCTGGTGTACTAATAAAAAAAAAAAAACTGTACCATTATCATGAAGGGTATTGGGTTCAGTACTTCGTTAGGAACCTAGGTTTTCCCCCTTAGCTAATTAATTAATTAAAGCACCCACTTTATAAAAGCTGAATGTGCGCCAAAAGGGTCTCCCAACCCCAGGGTTGATCCAAAGCTAGTGTAACAAAATAAACAATTATCTGCCAGAGCAAGACTCGAACCCAGGAACTTAAGAGAAGTAATCAAAGTGTATTACTCACTGAGCTACCCAACTCTTTACCTGGCTTTTTTAATTGGTAATTGGTTGACTGTCGTGGATAATGAAGAGAAGAATAGTTGGGGTGGTCAGTCAAAAAGGAAGGCAAAAAGGGCCCCCTCCCTTGCAACGACTTTTATTCTCCCTGCAACACTTAAGGAGACAGGTAGTACTTCTTTTATTTATTTCTTATTTCAGCTTTCTCAATTTCTTCCCTCCTTCCTTTCATTCCTTTTCTCTGTTCTTAACTATTTATTATATTATACATTGTCTGTACATCTTGATAGACTTTACAATATCTCAATTTTCTATCTAACTATTCCATTCTCAATGTCTTAATTTTACTATTTATTTTCATTTCTTATATAACTTCATATTTCTTTTTTATGTTTTACATTTTATTCTAAAATTCCCATTGTAACACTTATGTCACCCTTTTTGATTACGCCTACTTCATCATTCCACACTTTGTAACAGTTATTATTATTTATCTCTTAGTTATTAGTCATTATTCTAACAATTTCATTTTACTTTATATTTATTTATTTTATTTTATTTTTTTTATTTATTTTATTTTTTTTTACCATCACTACTTATGTTTCTCATATCTTGTTATCTGGTTATTTTCTTAGCCTTGATGAAGGCCTGAACTTCAGGTGGAAACGTCGGCATATGTATTCCTGCCTTCCTTTTTGACTGACCACCCCAACTATTCTTCTCTTCACTAATATTCTTTTCTTTACTTTTCATGCAGGATTATTTGTATAATCATTGACATATTTTGAAATATAAAAATTGTTATAATTACCTATCACTTACTCGTCCATTACATTTCTTATGTAAAATACATGTCTTCTGGTAATAGCCAGTATCGTACTCGTAATATCTATTTTGAACTATTATATTACTTCGTTATTATAAGATTTATTCTTAATGAAAGATTTATATAATATGGAATTACCATATTATATTTCAGCCCACATGTTGTCAGCTTCATTGTTACAGAGCGACTAGTTGATATTATAGGAGTGGGGAAGATTTTATATATGTAAAACTGATATTTCTTTATATTTTAGGTGGATCTATTTTAAGCAATACTAGCAATTCATTTTAAATGTTTATTTTTTCAGGTGAACTCGCATAAAATGTATTCAAATTATCTACGTCCGTATGATTATTTACAGAATTTTTCAAGCTTTTTGTAATATACATAGCTCTTCCTTTATTCTACGTTTATTAATATTATTTTCATTATATGAAGGATTTTAGCGTTTTTTAAATCAAAGTCGTGTTAAGTTTGCTAAGTATGCTGAGAAAGCCTATTAGCTAATTTAGTTTTTGTGATTTTTTAATTACAGTTTTGTTTATGTTGCTTAAGTCTTTTCCAAACCATTGTGATGTCTGTTCAAAATATTATTTATTGTTATAATTTATTTTATAAATAAATGCTTACGGATATATTCACCTTTCATTTTATCATTCCTAATTTGTTTGTTTGTTCCTAATTTCAGTTCCCTTAGCATACTGGTAAACATATTGTTGCCTACTTCCATATTAAATAATATTGAATGGATGGGCTACTCCACTTATCTTTGTAAAGTAGAATTAGCTTTGTGTCTTTATAATAAAAAACTTAAGAATCCATAAGGCTTAAGCCAAGGAGAATAGAAGTTTTTTGAGATAAGAAGTGCATCATAGTAACAAAAATTAACAGAAAAACTGAAAGGACTTATTTGCCAACCTAATGATTCTTTTTTTTTTTTTTTTTTTAAGACAAGGATGGTTCGGATGGTAATACAAAATAAAAATAGCAAAAATAAATAATAATATAATTTATTTTTGCTATTTTTATTATAACTGATCGCCTCAACCATCCTTCTCTTTAATTATTCACTTCAGTCAACCATCAACCCACAATTATTTATTATTCTTTTTTTCAGGAAAGCGTTTGTGTGGCAGCACTATTTTTGGGTTGGTTACTGGCAGTCGTAATCTCATTTGTACTCATTAACAATTATTAATTACTAAGGAACTTGTTTTTGGAAGTTTCAATATGAAGAAAGGAAGTTGAAAAATGTCGAATTAATAAACGTTGAAATGAAAATATTTCAAGTTAATTTAATAATGTTTATTTTTTTAATCATATAAGTTATATGTTAATTAACATGTTAGCTGTGGTTATGGTCCCTGGGTTTCGATATTCATCTCGTCTGCCAAGAGAGCAGGATTGTTTCATATTTTGCCTACTTTACGAAGTCTCTAAAATGTTTACTTTAAAAAATATTTGAATGGGAGTTGGATAGATGTAAAGATACAAACGTAAATAATCATTATTGGTAAATGGTTGACTGTCGTGAATAATGAAGAGAAGAATAGTTGGGGTGATCAGTCAAATAAGAAATTTGTCGCCACTATACATCCCTTCTCTCCACCCACACCCTCACTAACACGCTCATTGCTTAGATTTACGTCTCCGCTGTCAGGTGGGTTTTCTCTTTCTTTTTCTTTCTTATTCTCTTTCTTCTTTCAGCCTTCTCAGTTTCTTTCCTCCTTCCTTTCATCCCTCTGCTCTGTTTTAACTCTGTATTATATTATACGTTGTCTATACATCTTGATAGACTTTACATCTCAATTTTCTATCTAACTACTCTCTCTATTCACAATATCTTAATTTTACTGTTTATTTCCATTTCTTATAAAACTTCATATTTTTCTGTTTTACATTTTATTCTAAGATTCCCATTTTAATACTTATGTCACCTTTTTTGATCATGTTTACTTCATCATTCCACACTATGTACCGCTTATTATCATTTATCTCTTTGTTCTTACTATTGTCATTATTCTAACAACTGAATTTTGCTTTAATTTTTTTACCTACACTACTTATGTTTCTCATACCTTGTTATCTGGTTCTTTTCTTAGCCCTGATGATGGCCTGAACTTCAGGTCGAAACGTCAGCTGATGTCAAAATAAATAGTATCATTTATTTTTGCCTTCTTATTTGACTGATCATCCCAACTATTCTTCTCTTCGTAAATAATCATTATATCGGACATAAATCTGTAGGACACCAGGGACCGATATCGTACCAGACTGATAAAAATTATTTCCCAACGGTATTATCCCCGTCGACCAATACATATTCCTGCCATGACAGGACAGTGCACATTTATGTTGAAAAAGATAATGTTTGGAACATTGGCGGTCAATTCTTGAATCATTTTTAACATGAAAAAAGAAAAACCCATTTCAATTAAAAAGTTCCAATCGGTTCTCGCTGATGAACTTGCAACTCAGCGCTGACCACTGTTACCACGTTCATTATTTTATTAAGCCTTCCGGTGAAGGAAGAAAACATTAAACGCAATGTAGGGAATGCTACAGAGAATTGAAAGAGAGCCTTACAATTAAGGAGGCAAATAAGAAAACACGAAAAGTCACAGACTGTGATGGTGTGCCGGGATTCCATTTGCCGCACTTCAGCCAGTAACACAAGCAGTTAGCAACTTAATACTTCACTTTCATTTTTCCTCTTCTTAAAATAAATTCCAATGTAATAGTGAATACTCAAATACCTATTATATTTTTCTGACATTGCCACAATATGGTACTTATTATGTAGCTTCGATTTTTTATATTATATTTTTATCTTGACATTAAAAAAGTATCACACAAATAATGTATAAATTATGTCATGAAAGTTATAATTATATGTAATAAATAAACTATATGCAATACACTATATACAACTGAAGGACACCTTCAGTGCTCGAAACACGCCCTGATGATGACCCACATACTTGGGTTTATACTTCGGCAGCAATAAACATCTTAAAAATGACTGTGTTCGGACTACTTATCAACTATGATACGTAGAACAGTCAACTTACTTCCTTCAATGAAATCAGGACATTAAAATAAACTATAAAAGTAATAAACAAGAATTATAAAATATATGTAATTTAAAAGATACAAAATATAAAAGATGTATCATAAAAATACTTATAAAAAATATAATTACATAACATCAAACAATATTAATCAGTTCCATACATCATGTGCTATAATCATAATTATTTAATGGTGAAAATATTTATAACATCTCGAGATCATTTATATTAAATTTCATTACTGATGAAAAGGAGGAACCCAGCCACCGAATTTTCTCTCTAGTTCTTCCGCTACGGCGATACAAAGATGGTCATTGTTCAAACTAGCTACAACCTATACATATTTGAGTCAGAATTGTAATAATTTCAAAATAATAATAAATATACAAACTTATTTTATACTGTTCTAACCTGCACACCAATTGGTAAACCATTCTTGGTCAGACCGAGTGGAACTTGTGTCGCTGGGAGCTTAAGGACGTTCATTATTGCCCAATAAGCGAAGTTATAGGGCCTCAGCAAAGAAACGTAATGGTGAGGTGCTTCTGTAGGGCAGTTGGGGAAAAGTAACACTCCGTTATCTCCTAAAAGTTCCTAGAAAAAAGAAATAAACATTAAATGCTCATAGTACAGTAAATTAATCCACTGTTGATTTATAGCTATAAGAAGTGTGACAGTTGCAGTTCAATCCTTGTTTAAAAGCTGAAAGTAAACTTGGAACAATGACGGAAACAATGGAAGAAATTCAGTAATTGAATGACCAATGGCTCAGTGTATCCATCAGCTCTTAAGGTCAATGGATCTACAGAATGTAACCTCATGATAACCTCAATGTAGTTATTTCCCAATCGACTTAACATATTTATAATTGATTAACCACATATCTATATTTATTTCTGTTGTTTTAAATTCTACAATTCAGTAAGTATTTATTTCCTTACGTATTTTTTAAAATTTATCATTTTTAAAAAAAAATAAATGTGTTAATCTTCCACTGGAATCCATCAGATCATCCCTAAAATTTTCATAAATAGCTGTTTAAGGCTGCTGGATTCAATCAATCAATGAAATCCATAGATGGAATAAGCGCTGAGTTTAGGAACTTGCCCTTGATGAAGGTCTCAAAACATGGTGTATATAAAACAGCTGAATGAACATGTCACAAACAGAAAAAAAATAATTACTTTAACAAACACCAACCATTTGAAAAAAGAAAAGAAAAGGAAAACATAGAAACTATATTTCAATAAATAATTTGGTGTAAACTAAATTATTAAAAATAAATCTAATTACTGAACTAAAAAATTTATAATAAATTAATTTAAGAAAATTATATTTTCTATTTAGAGTATTACCAATAGATAGTTTCACTGCAAGTGTTTTCATTCCATTATATTCCTTTGTTCACATTTATTAGATGTATTTTTATTAGAATATATTTGTGAATTTCATGAATAAAAAAAAAATATTGCTATTAATCTACCAAGAATTGAATAAGATAAAAATGTTGGATAAAATAAATTTCAAGTTCAGAAATAATCAAAATAACTATATATATTATCGATAGTACAAGTTTCTAATCTCAGCACTAATTCCATCAATCGATTGAATTCAGCACCAATTTGTGCTGAGTTTAGGAACAAGCTGCTAGATTCCAGCTAAACGTTGGCACTTATGCAAAGTAATAAATCGTATGAAAAAGATAAGGAAATACCAACCTATTGAAGTGCTGAATTACAAAACAGAAGTAAATATATGTAAAAAGGAAACTGAATATAAATTTGTAAATTATATTGAGAAATATCAATCATGAGGGTATAATGTGGTTACATCCAGTGGATCCATCGATCCAAAAAGCTGATAGAACTACTGAGCCATTGGTGATTTAGGTTGATGAATAAAGAAACATGCTGAATTTCATTGATGAATTTAGGAAAGGTAAGTTAAATTTCTGATGAAGTTAGCGCTGAGTTATGAAACCCATTTCATTTCAGCTGATTATTCTTGAGAAAGAGCAAAATACTGCTAGTAAGTTTTATTTAGATAGTTCATATGAAGATAGCTGCCACAATAGGTGCTGTCAAATAATATAGAATTCAATCAATATAGAATTAGTAAACCACATGACATTATTATTATTATTTTATCTGCCCAAGACAAGCAGAGATGGAGCAGGCTTGTTAAGGCAGTAAAAGATCTACATCATCTGTAATGCCAACAGAATAAAAAAAAATAATAAAATAATATTTGATAATTTTCAACTGATTTAACTAGAATATTCTGAACATTAAAATCTAAAATTGAACAAATATACTTACCGAGACCTTTTGCTTAAGAGTACTTATTTCCGATTCTGCCCAAGTGGGATTGGTCGGAGGTAAAACTTTAACATCAACAATGCGCATTAGTGAAGCCAGTGTGTAATCCGACTGAAAGATAAGTGTCTTGGCAAACTCAGCGCACAATGATACTTCTCCCTGTAAATATTAATTTTTATAAGAATCACTATAACGGTGATGGATTCAAATCAATACCTTTTTTCTCTCTTTCCTTCACACAATAACCCTGTATGAAGGTTGTGTATTTGTTATTTTATGTTCCATGCATTAAGCATAATGCACGTATCAATTTATTTATTTAATTAATGAACTATAACAGCTCTTATAAAACTTATATAAATTACACGGTTATAGTTATAATGTAAAGTTCAATTTTTACTAATAAATCTCATTAAGACAAAAGAAAAAAACTCTAATAAAAACATGAGATAATTTGAGATAATTATAAAAAACCAAAACAGGGAAAACATAACTGCAATAAAATAATTATTCACTACTGTCTTCTAGGAGGAGTTGAAGAACAACCTCAATTTTCGATTCTGAGCACAACTTTTTTTTAGCCTCTCGCACAAATACAATGCTTCCCTACCTTTGGTTGTGAGGAAGCAAAATATTCTATTATAGATAGAAGAATATGTAATAAGTTTTTTTTTTTTCATCTGTTAATTTGTTTGAGAAAAATATATCTACTAAAGTACCTTTCGATTAGTCAAATCCCGAGCATAATTTTTTGTAAACCCATCCTCTTTTGTCATTTCATGCCTCCATAAAGACAAACTATGTCTGAATTCATTGAAGGATATCTGAAAAAAAAAAAGAAAAGTATATAATAGCTCATCAAAAGAACAAGGTTATGTAGAACATGCTGAAAGAATGAGTAAAAGTGGTGTTAATAATTCTGTTTCATTTTGTGTCCTTTATTTTTAATGTATTCATAATGTATAGCGTATCTAATATAAGTTTGTGGGTAGGGGAAGGGAGCTCGCGCAGCTTTCCTCCACTCAAGTTCTACCTCGCTCCAGCTCCACCATAGCAATTACCTTATACCGGGAAAGTGTTATTCCATTTTCTTCAAATTTCGCTCAAATGTTTATTAAAGGAAGGGATTTTAATTTATAAATACAATAAAACAATGTGCAAGGATAGTTAAATAATCAAATTAAGAAGAAAAAATACTCCCAGCTTGTTTTCATGAATTTATATGTACGTTCAAAATTACATTTTTTGTTTGAGAGTAGATAGTTTTCCCTCAACCCAGTTTACTTGTCATAATAAACGAAAATTGATAAAAGAAATGGGAAAAAATATATAAAAGAAATTTCTACTTGTAAAATAAATTTTAGAAGTACATATGAATGAGTAGAGAAGACAAAAGAGTTGGGGAATTTCCCCTCTACCCACCCGCAAACTTATTTTATATGGAGTCTGCCAACATTTAAAGAAAAATTAATTCAAACACAAAATGTTTGATGGAATTCATTTTCTTAAAAGACCCTTCCTTCCTTATACAGCAAGTTGTTTTATTAAAAAAAAATAATAATAATAAAAAAATATATATATATAAAAATGAATAAAAAACAACAACATATATATACATATATAAAAAAAAATTGTTTACTATGCTCATACATATTGTTAATACTATATAATTGTATATTAGTTTTAGAAAATTGTCTGTAGCGATTAATAAGAGATTTGTTATTAGATTAATAAGTATGCTGTGTTTGAAGTAACCTAATGTAATTGGGGAGCACCTTTTTATAATAATAAAGTGATCCTTGATGATTTATAAATCAATTGAACTATTCAATTTAATTTATAAATATGCTGAGAGGAAAAAATGTTATTTTATAAAAACATTTTTTATTAAATTAATGTAAATGTTTCTTATTAAATTAATGTCTTATTTCTTAATAATAAATAAAAATAATAGGACTGGAAAAAAAATTGAGACTTCCAAAAGGCACTTTTTAACACAATTTACATACAGATTTTTAAATCTCTAACTTAATTGCGGAAAGTCTCCAAAACTGAGAAATTTCATGAATAAAAAATGATGGAGAGGAGGAAAAAATTGAGATCACTGAACAGTACAAACCCAAACTTAATTCATATACAAAATTTCAACCCTCTAATGAAATTAAAAGGGATTATAGAGGTGCCCATATTTTAAGAAAAAATGACCGGAGGCAGGAAAAATGCTGATCTACACATTTACAATGATCTTCAATATAGTTTAATAGTCTATTTTATTACAGGGAAAATTATTTAATTATTTACCTGTTTCGCATCAGATTTGGGTGCTATAGACAAATGCTCCGCAGCCTTTAAGATTGCAGATTTTACTTCTGTTGAAACAGGGCTCACTCTTAAGTCTTTCGGCTCTAAACAATAATAGACCTTGATGTCTCTTAAATCCACCTAAATAATAAAAAAAAAAATTAATGAGGCCAACAATTAAAAACAAAGGAAACATATAATTTTTACGATATTATTAGAAGAATTCAAAACAGAGCCTCAAGTTTCTTAAATAATAAAATGTTCAATAATTCGCAAAGTCTGATCTAATAAGAACAGAAAAAAATAATATTACAATAATACATGGTTATGTCTTCCCAGTGGTCGAAATTCGACCATATCCATTATTTAAACTTTGAGTAAAACATGAGTTTGCATGTTTTCAATATTTTTTTTCCACTCTTATACATTTGAACATAAACTTTAATACATACTTACAATACAAACTTAGCCACTTTTTGGAGAAGTATGTTATAAACATAAATTAAAATGGCTTCAAGGAGGAGAATTTAGCCAGTTTCATTAAAATCTTTAAAGCTGTTTTGGCCTTACAGTCTGTAGTAACACACTTTTTTGGCTGTTATTTGGAAACAAAAGGCTGGATGATAATGAAATGTATATAAAAACACTCCTGAGTGGCATTAAATTGTATATAAAAACACTTCTGAATTCGATTGCAGCATTGTATCAAAATTTCAAAGCAGTCAGTGAAGAAGTTGTTGTCAGTGAAAGATAAGAAGAGATTAGCAGTTTTAAACGAACTAACATTTTTATTTTTACTTATGTACACTGTTTGCAAATTTTTTTTATAAATAACATTGAAGCTCATAACTAGTTACTAACCAAAAAAAAAACAATCAATTGTAAAACAGGAGAAAAGGGGAATGAACTGTTTTGTCTTTGCCTAATTATATATTGATAACACAAATTATTTAAGGCTTTAACAAGTACATAGTTAAGTTTTAAGAATACATGTAAGTAAAATAGCTACAGCTACTTTTATAATTCATAGGGGAATTGCCTGGTTTATAAAATGAACGATTAGGATTCGTTTACGTCAATCTTTTTTCCATAGAGAACTGACAATTGCCAATTTTCGTTTCAAACTTTTAAAATTATATTGATATCACACTTCACAAAATTTATTCTATTTTTTAACAATGGGGGCTTCTCAACCATTGAGGGCCATTTTAGCCATTACACAATGTAAAATTCAACAATAAACTTGATAAAGTTTGTAAAGATTAAGAGATGGAGTGGCCGAATGGGCTAACGTCTGTGCACAGCACCCCGTGTTGCTTGATAACCAAAGTTGGAGACAATATAATTACGAGTTCGCATCCCGGTGCCTAAGTCTTTTAAATTTCCCGCCCTCATCCTCTGGGAAAAATCCCCATATAGTCTTAAAGGCAAGGTAGGGGAGACAAAAAGAAACAGGTAGGAAAAATAATACATTAAAATTTTCAGAAAGGAAAAGCACAAAAAACAACTAAATTTTATTAAATAATTGTGTTTTTTGAAGATACCAAAACTACTAACTCTATTTCATTACGATAAGCCTCATAGGCATAACACTCAATCAAGTCATGGCTTATAGTTAAATTGACCCCACAGCAGAAACTGAGACAGTGTCCCCTTTGTCATTACGTGTTCATGGATTAACTTTACATTACTTAAATTATTTGATCAATGAAATAAAAATAGATGTACTCTTACCTTCGTATCAAGCTTTAACGATTTGATATTTTCACCCATCATTACTTTTAAAAAAGGAATTATGTCTTTGGCAGTTCTAGAAAAAGTTCCAAATGTCACCATAGAATCCACTTCATCTCCAGTATAAAATGGAAACCCATTTATTGGCATTAAACCTATAACAGAATAAACCAAAGACTATTACTTTGTTTCTTTTATTTAATTTCTTATAATCATGACCTTAATATCTTATCTATTACAAATTTTATCTATTCAAATTTTCTAAATTTCAAAATATTCTTATTCATTATACAATTATCTGTAATCTATTATCTATTATGGAGCATTCCTATGATCCTTCTCTAACATTAAAACAGCAGAACTTCAAAGATCTTTTATAAGTATATTCTGTGGATGGCAGTCAGTGGTTGTTAGCAAATAGTGTATATAAGTTTGCCAGTGTTTGAGATGTTTATTTTACTTTATTTAACATCAGGTTTAAATTATTTATTTTTTCTGTTAATAACTTTTCTATTTTTATTATTTAATTCATTTATATTTCTGTAAAATTCCAATAAATCCCATCAAATTACCTTCACTCTTCGTCGTAAACCTATGACTTTCTGTCCTACAGTATCCTTCAACAATAGCCCTCTTATCCCTGTCGAAATTCGAATACCTAGGACTTAACCTGGACAAACGGCTCACTTGGAACCCCCATACCAGACTGAAACAACTAGAAACTGCCCGACGTTTTCAACTACTGCAGCACTTACTAGACAAACGCTCTAAGCTTTCAATCAATTACAAACGACTCATATATATGACAATAATAAGACCTATTTGGACTTACGGAATCGAGCTTTGGGGCTCCACTGAACCATTGAATTCCTCTCGTATCAAATCCTTACAATTCAAAATCCTTCGTAAAATCCTCAATGCACCCTACTTTGTCACAAATAAAATCATCCATAAAGACCTTCATGTTCCATATGTTTCCGATTTAGCTCAATCCAGATACCTATCCTTCCATAACAAACTGCAGAACCATCCGAACCCTCTTGTTTCAAACCTTGCTTCCTCCTCGATCCCTGATAATCCTCCGAGGCATCTGAAAAGAAGATGGCCTTGGGATCTTCTAATATAGAACTTTAATTTGAGTTCTACCAATGGGTACATGCTGTACATGTCATGTTACCAATGTCACATTTACTTACTGAATTTTCTATGTAATACAGTCATAAATTTCATAAAAAAAAAAAATTAAAAAAAAATATATTTCTGTAAATATCAATGATATAGGATTTAAAATTATTTTAAAAAAAAAGTTTTTAAAAATTATTAAATAGTAAAGTAAATTGAAATATGTTTAGGCCAAACCATCCCGTTGGTAAGATGGCGGAGCTGGCTAATATGTGTGCAAAACATGTGTTATTCGGCAGCCTGATAAACTGGAGATTAGAAATTTGAATCTTGGTGCCAAGAGCTTTTAACTCTGGATTTCCTGCCCTCTCTACTGGCCTGGAAAAAAACTGTATAGCCAAAAAGGCGAGGCAGAGAAGAAAAAAATTAAAATTAAAAACATTAAATTAATATACCTGTTGTCGGTTTATGGCCAAAAACACCACAGTAATACGCCGGCATTCTGGTCGAGCCCCCAATATCAGTTCCGATTCCAATCGGTGAACCACAAGCCGAAATGATTGAGCACTGCAAAATTAAATTAATTTTTTATTTGTTAAAACTCTAATCGTATATCAAAAACAAATTGTCAAAAAATTATGAGATAAACAATAATAAAGTAATTTTGAGATGGATTTTAATCAAATTTTTTTTATTCTAGTAGTCGATATTTTATCCTTGCATGTGGATCTTCATATAAGACATAGATCGAAGTACACAAATAAGCCAAGAGAAAAAGATAAATAGTTCAAATAAGATAACTGTAATATAAACATAATAGAACACCAATAAAAAAGATAAACAGTAAATTTATTTTTTTCTCTTGTTGCTTATTGGCTTATTTATGTACTTCTGTCTATATCTTATATTTATGATATAATTTTTACTTTCATTTACCTATGTATGTAATATAAAGTAAGAGAAAGTATTGCGATCGTGGAAATTTTCAAATCTTAGTTTTCAATGGAAATAAATGTTTTGAGAACCCTTGAATCCAAATAATCAAGTCTCGCACAATGGTCTATGTGTGTGTGAATAGTCTAGCTCAAAAAAAAAAAAAGTTTTATGCAACTAAAATTGCATATTTAAGGTTTGTACATAATGTTACAGCAAGTTTTTCATCAAAATCAGCTAACCAGAAGTGCCTCTTTATATTATCGATTTTACATATTTTTACAATTTTCTCTCACGATTTTGATTAAATTCATCATATCAGTGTCAAATTAAGCAGTTGGTTATGTAATCTAGGTCTTATTCTCTAACAGGCTTTAAATGCTAAAAAAGATGTCTGTACCATGGACTAACATCAAAAGATGTCTAATATATTTATGGTTCAACCTGACAGACATCAAAAGTTCACTGCCAAAAATTCTTTGAGTAATATAAAAAATAATATGTATCATATATATAAACTAAACGTTTCAATCTATCTATATTTATAGTACAATATTTTACAGTGAACTGAGGTTGGTATGTGTTCATGCTCGTTAATATATATTTGGGTTCTTCATAATACTTATTTTTTATTTTCTTTGATAATAAGGGCATTTCAACATTTAACTAGCAGCAACCAGGCTTGGATTAACTATATAAACTAGTAAATACATCTTTAAATGCTTTATCTAGAATTAATCCAGATTTAATTTTTTTCTACTTAAATTTATTCACTGATCATATAACAAATTAAAGTATTTTTATTGCAATAACAGTAATATATTTAATATATTCTTTACTTCTCCACCACATGATCCACCTGCAGTTCGAGAAAAATTATAAGGGTTGTTCGTCTGACCATAAACATTATTCCTTGCTTCACACCATAAATTATTTTCTGGCATATTGGTAACAGCTATCAAAATTGCACCACTGTTTTTCAATCTTTCGATTACAATTGCATCTTCCGTACCTTTCACTCCTCTTCGTGCAACGAGGCCACAAGTAAAAGCCATACCTAAAATAAGCAACATCTAAAATTCATAGCTAAAAACTAAATACAATCATTAATTATAAATTGTGTTGCCTATATTAACTTAATGTATGATTCTTTTCTTGAAAAAATTAATTAATTTTTGTTAAATTCATCCTTGATTATAATCAATGTTAACAGTCTAATGATTAAAATATCGGCATTGGTTATAGTTTGTTAATTTTATTATACAATAATGAAAAGCAGTAATAAATGGATAAAGGCTTAAACATATATAACATATAATTTCCATGATCTATTTTTTATCATCAGGATTAAAAGCTATAAATACTTATGTGATATGAATATGTATGTATAAATGTAATCCTATTTTGAGTATAAATAAGATGTTAAAAGATTTTTTTTTTTTATTGCTAGTAATGTATTCTAGCTATAGTGATATTGTTGAAGATCATGTTAAATTACACTTTTTTTTTTTTTTTTTTTTTTTTTTTTTTTTTTTTTTTTTTTTTTTTTTTTTTTTTTTTTTTTTTTTTTGGTCCTTCCCTTCCTCGCCGTTAAGGCTATACGGGATTTTCCCGGGCCAGGGAGTGTGGGCGGGGATTTAAAAGACTCCCCCGGCACCGGGACGCGAACTCGTGACTATTTTTATATCTTTAATTCATATGTCAGGTTGCCAGGCAACGGCGGTGCAGTGCACACGCTTTAGCCCATTCGGCTACCCCGCCCACTAAAGTTAAATTACACTTGCTGTGGTCTCGTCTATGTTTTTATCCTTGTCTCCTTGTTAAAACTTTTCATTCTGAAAATTTGGCCCTGTCGAAAAGTGTTCCCCTCAAAAATTCACAACCCCATCAAAATGTGTTCCCTCAAAAACTTAATGGCTCAACTTGCCCTTTTTCTGGGCACCTGCTGAGCTTAAATGTAGTTTAACAAATCAAGAATGAAATTATTGATATATTTTTTAAAATAATTAATATTACCTTTTGCTTGAGTACTTTCTTTGGAAGTAAAGGGGACTCCCAATAAAGGTTTAGACATCTCGATTTCATCGATAGTTTGATCTGTTTCAGCCAAAAATTTATCGACGTCTCTTGCTTCTTCGATAGCATCGACATATCTTTCATCAACCACTGCATTTAAAAACTGATTCACTTGTTTGATTCGGTTTATATGTGCCCTTATGACAATTTCACAAGATATCTACAAATTAAAAAAAATCAGAGTTTCACATAATCAGGTATAATTAAAAAAACAAGTTCCTCACATAAGGTCAGTAATGAATAAACTATAGTGTTGGTTGTAATTTGATAAACTGATACCAAGCCATTCATATGCTAGAATCCAACTATTCTACGAATTTCAAAATATAGGTGTGCCAAAGAAAATATGTTTGCTTATGTATAAGCTAAAGTAGAGGATGGAATTTGATAAAATTGAAATAGTAACATTTGGTACCAATTCTGAAAATTTCATCAAAATCAAATTAATGGTCAACTGAATTTGACTTCAGACAAACATGGAACCAAACTTGTTCCTTGATGTATAAAAATTCTATATTCTGATAACAAAAATTATAGTCAATTCTTGCATGAATACAAAGCTTCCTTACCTTCAGTAGTGAGAAAACCAAAAAAAAAAATATATATATATGTATAAAAAGATAATACCGAGGAATAACTCCCAAAGAATAATAATAATAATATAAAGTCAAAAGAGCGATGATTGATATTTGAAACAAATCAGAACTTTTTTGAAGGAACAATTTTGTTTACTAGTAGGCCCGTGCTAAAATTTGCACAGTTTATTGTTCAGTGTTCAAATAATAATTTAATAAGAAAATAAAGCAATGCAACGTATCATAAAAGAAATCAATTGTTACTTTCTCACTAAATATAATAGACAACGGAAACAAAAATTAATTTAAAATTTCATTAATGTTTGGAACTAACATTTTTACAAATTTCTATAAGCTGTATCTTTGCTAAAAATAGTCCAAATTTGATTATTTTTGCAGGGAATTTAATAATCTTTTATATTAACATGGACATAACCAAGAGAAAAGTGTGTAATTTTCGAGTTGTTCGCAAATAAAGTTTCTTTTCTTTCATAACTCTTTTGCCTGAATTTTCGGTGTGATTAGACTATTGCCCGCCTTAAGGAGAAGGAAACCTTCAAAATTGGTGGCTCAATGATGGGGCTTACCAACAAAAAACACGTTCAATAAATAATATAAATTCCTCCTCTCTCGGTCATAGGGGCCTGAAGTCGACGAAATGAGACATGTATTCCATGACAGTACTACAATTAACATAAGGTTGTGTGGATGAGAACCCTTTGCATTATCTCGAAAATAGTACGTTTTTGGGCTTAAGAACGCAGGGCCCGATAGCTCCAAAGGAACTATCGGAGGTCTTGCTGCAGGCATCAAAATCTTCAAAGCCCAATTTCCAATTTCGATCTACAGACTTATCATCGTTCCAGTATTGAAGCCTAGCAAAATGTCTGTATCGACTTTATTTATTTTAGAAAGAAAAATATAAGCGGAGAGTATGATAAGCCCTCGTGAAATTCTGAATCCAATGGTACCTAATTCAGGGTATTTGAGCATGACAGGAGCTAATATTTGGTACAAAATCGATTTCGAGCCTTACTGTATTAATATATGAGGAGATTTGCTATTTTTAACGTTGCTTCGACAACTATGGTCATTAGCAATGAGTACTTAATTATAATTAATTTATTTTGTTTTTAATATGTTTGAATATTTTTTTTTCTATTACACTGTTTTCTATGTATGGGACAATGTTTTCAATTTTAAGGTATATTTGTTCTTTACGATATTTTTTTACACTGAAATAAAAACAAATATAAATAACCAATTTGTATCAAACAAATATTTTAAAATAAAAATTGTTTTATAATAATGATACTTTAATTTTAATTAAAAATATAAATTATGCTGTGAATTTTTTTAAGAAAAAAATAAATAATTTTAGAATATGGTTTTTAAAAGTACAACATATAGTTTATAGAACCATGGATTGTTGATTTACTGTTAGAATAGAGATTAGAAGAAGAGCTCAGAGAAGAGAATTAAAAACAAATAGTCTAAGGTTCACCAGCATTTAGGATTAAATTATTCTAAATAGAACATAAAATTATTGCATCAATCCTTTTTGTATTTTCAGGTTAGGATACGAGAATAAATATTAAAGACATATTTACAGTGATACCAAATGAAGAAAATACAGAACTAATCAAGGATGTAGATTGATTAGCATTGGCGAGACTAAAAAAAAATTAAACCTTACGAGAGAACAACTGAAGGATAAGAATTAAATTTTAAAATAAAACAATTATAATCTAAACATGGATAATTTATTATGGATTTATGGATTTATTATGGATAAATTATTTATTAATTTAGAAATTAATATATTGTTGACTGTTATTTTAAAACTATATATACACTATACAAAGACAGTAAATCTTAACTATTTGTCATCCTCATGATATAATTAATATTTTAAATAGTAATAATTAATAGACTTTGTTTCGATATGATCAATCTAATAAATGAGTTTTTTTTCAGTATGGTCATTAATAATAAAAAGTTAATGGTGGTAATAGTTGTAATTAATTATGAGGTTGACCTTCGGGGCAACTAAGCAAACAAATAAAATATATTGTTTTTATCCAGTAATTATTATTCAAGGCCTCAGTATTATTCATCGATTAATCTTTTATAAATAAATATTGAGCTCGAGAGTGGATATATCGATGTTTATTGCAAAATGCCATTAAGTGACATTTCATAACCTCAAATAATTACGAATTTCGATGAATTTTCCCTCAGTCAAATCAGAAAATTGTTCTCTTAGTGTTACTATATATGATAAATAAAATCGTTTGTATCATTTCCATGCACTTCCAATGTTATTTTACAGGTAAATGAGGTCGAAATTCGTAAAAACATATTTGAAAGTTAACCTACATATATCAAAAATGTACTTAGTGACTTTTTGCAATAAACCAACAATATTCTTGAGTAATTTTAATCATGTTTAATAGATCCAAAAAATTAATATGACTTTAATCATTTGATGAAAAATTAAAAAAAACTTAATTTAACTCTCTGAAAAATCGGTGTATAGCCAAAAAAGTCGTTCAGTAATATTTTATTAAATTAAAGCATAAAGTAGTTTGATAAATAGTTTCTCATTGAAATCAGAAAACTGTTTGATCACAGATTCTTGATATATAATATGGTTTGTGTTATTTTGATGTCACTTAATGAGTTTTCGCATCCATAAATATGATCAAAGGCGAACTTATTAAATCTTTGCAATAAACTAACAATGAAGATAATTTATTTTAATCATCAGAATAATTATTGACTATAAACTTCCAAACTATACATAAAATTAATTAAATATACATACTTCACATCAATAAAAGTGAAGTAATGGAATAAAAAAAAGATTTCTGTTATTCAAAACAATATATTAACAATATGTTAACATATTAACAACAGTGAGAACACATTATCACATATTAATTAAAACATTACGATCACATCCTTAATTAAGTAATTCACTTCATAAATATTAATATTTAATTAAGATCATTTAAATGCTTATATTTAATACTTAACAGATACTTGTATTTAGAAGTATTTATTTGATTTCAATTATGCCTGTTTTTACAATTAAATTATGACATTGATGCAATGTTGTTATATTTATTTAAAAAAAAAAGGTCATTGATGTTCAAATTAAGATGTTTTGAAATTTAAATTTATCTTGTTCTTTGTTTTTCTAAATAATATCAAAGGTAAAAGCGAATGCAAACAAATATAAAAATAAACAATTATATTTATATTAATTTTATTTAAAAAAAGATCTTTTCTACATTCTATGCTTATCTCTCGAGTTGTTAAATATTTATCACTATGAAATGGGTATTTTTATAAAATTCATTATTATAACGGAATGAACTCTTTAATAATTTACAATGTCAACTAATTTTCTTTTAATTAAATTTTCTTAAACAATTAACATGAATTTATGAAGTATGAATTTGCATCTAATAGCATTAAAAAAAAAAAAAAAAAAAAAAAAAAAAAGAAAGTCATTGAATCTTCTAGCTCCCAATAATATTTGCCATAGCAATATTTTAGATATTGTTTATTATTGGCTATAATAATAATGCCTCTGTTAAGTAGTATATCTAAATTTGAAGTTTTTCCATTTAAAAATATTTGTTTTCCTCTTTTAGTTTTAACTTATTTGAATATAGGTAATTTTAAACAATAATTAATTGAAGTTGAATTTTCTGAAATTCATCACCAATTTTATAGTTTTATTCTTTTTATTTATTTTATTCCAAATAAAAAATAATCAAAAGTAATTAATAATAAATAATTGCAAAAATATGAATTAATAAACAAAGTAACATATAAATACAATTATATGAGTCTATCAGTTGACAGAATGACTCAATCCAATTTCAGCATTTTTTAGCAAAGTCAATTCAGTGATATTTCTAGACGAAAAATTTATAATATTTGTACAGACAGTGAGTTAATTCCAGAGTAGGTGATTGCAGTATTGAAATATAGAACTGTTAATAAAGGTATAAATTTTCCTGGTAGAAATATCACTAAAATTAATAAACAAAAATTTTAAAATTGGAGTTACTCATTCTGTCAACTGAAAGGCTCATATATAATTTACTCTTTGTTGAATTTGAAATAATTCAGTAAAAACTGATTATGTTTGACTTTATAATATGATTTATTTTATCTTTAGTTTTTTAGGGGTTTCAAAAATTTGAAAACTGTTTATATTACCTGCTTTTCTCTTATTTCTTTGGCCAAAGATGTTGCACTTTTCAATAACAATTGATCTGTGACTTCAGGAAGTTGTAATGTTTTTTTGTCATTATATACAAAACCGAAAATAAAATCTATAATCCACTCCACGATAATTCTGAAGGTGTAAAAGAAACCTTCACAAAACTTAACCTGGAATAACAAATATGATTATGCAATTCATTCAAGTTTAAGTAAATCTCATTAATAGTTAGATATATAAATACTTACACGAGTTGAAGTGGCCATATCTTAAAAGTTTATAGACAAAATATTGTAAAATCTTCCTTAGTTCAATAAATCAAGAATTATTTGAGGAGCTACAGTACATAGTTCATGGTACTTGCTTTCAAACTGTCATGCACTCCAAGTGTGTAATCATCGGAGAGGTAATACAAGTGGTTTCTCATCAGCATTCTTGCGGGAAATTCAAAACGTGTAATTAAAAAGGAATAGAAAAAAAGCTGTCTTGTTTATTCTCTTGTGCAATTAAAACCAGATAGTTTCATAAAAATATAATAATAATAGTTGTATAAAAAACAAACAGTACTACTTATTCATCTGAACTGCTTCACTTAGTAGTGTGTCATGTGAAAAGAGAAAGTTTTTAGGGGACCTGGTTGTATAATGATGTGAGCTGCTTTTCTGGTTTTGGTTGAAATATTTTTTTTTTTTTTAAATGAAGTACGTAACTAGGAAAAAAAACAAGGTGGAGATATATTCAGAGCCGGAACTAGGAGGAAGTAAAGGGGATAACTAAGCAGACATTAGAATTTAGAAAGGAGACAATTTCTGAACGAAAATTAATGTTCAAGTTAAATCACTTGCGCATCCAGGAATTAATTTTTTTGGGAAGGGGCTTCAGTTCGAAATCTTTATATGTATATCGATTATTTATAAGAAGAAAGATCTTTAGTCCGTGTTACAGACCAATTTTTATCGAATTATTAACATCCGCCTGAAACTTCGTAAATAGTTTCATCTCATCGTAATCTACAACTATTTTATTTACTTAAACTCTTGAAATTTGGACGTTTTCAATATGGAGGGGAGCACACTTTGTCTATTTTATTAGGTACTAAAACTCGTTAATACATATTTGTTTTCTTCTCGTATGGTAAAATATAACTATTTCATATGAAAAAATAATAAAACATCTCTAAAAGTATTATTGTTCCTATAATTACATTTAATAGGTCTTCAAGAATCACTTAAACACCATTTCATATAGGTAGTTAAGATAGTCTGTGGTATAGACCCCTTTTTATCGAATTATTAACATCCTTCTGAAACTTCGTAAATAGCTTCATCTCATCGTAAACTACTATTTATTTACTTAAACTCTTGAAATTGGGGCGTTTTCAATCTGTAGGGGGGCAAACTTTGTCTATTTAATTAGGTACTAAAAACTCGTTAATACACATTTGTTTTCTACTTGGATCGTAAGATAAATTGATCACAAAATCGATAAAAAATGTGGCATTCAAAAATATTGAGCCTTTTGGCGTGACCTATACTCCCAAATTTTCAAAATGACTTGATTATATAGGACAAACGTCCCAATATTTTTGTAGGCCAGCTTTTTTTAACGATTTCGTGAAAGCAAATATGTATTTACGAGTTTTTAATACCTAATTAAATAGACAAAGTTTGTCCCCCTCCAGTTCGAAAATGCCCCAATTTGAAGATTTTTCCTAAATAAAATTGTTGTAAATTTCGATGAGATGAAAATATTTACGAAGTTTCAGGCTGATGTTAATAATTCGATAAAAAGGGGTCTGTACCATGGACTATCCTAACTACCTCTATGAAATGGTGTTTTAAGTGATTCTTGAAGACCTATTAAATATAATTACACGAAAAATAATACTTTTAGAGATGTATTAATATTTTTTCATAAGAAATGGTTATATTTTACCATTTTTTTGGGGGGGAGGGAGGAGAGGTTTATGAGTTAAATTATAATATATCGCTAGTGTTAGTGCAAAAGGTCGTATTTAAAAATTTAGTTATTTTTACAAAAGAGCATAAAAACTGATCATTTCTTTATAATTATGAGTATAATTTCATATTTTATTTCCCTATTGAAGACAAGTATGGTTGGAGTGATCAGTCAAAATAAAAATAGTAAAAATAAAAATTGTATTTATTTTCACATTCGCCGACGTTTCGAATCGAAGTTCAGGTCTTCATCAGAGCTAAGAAAAGAACCAGATAACAATAGGTATGAGGAACTATAAACATTGAATAATAATGTATTAAAATTAAAAAAAGATGAAAGGTATAGACTAAAAAATGTAGTTAGAATAAACTTTTTTTTTTTTTTTTTTTTTTTATTTCTTTATGACATTTACAACTGTATTACATAAATACATCAAGTAAATTTGAACATAATTGATATAATGACATGAATACACTTGCTGAGTAACTACCCAATGGTAGCACTCTAATGATATGACTACATTAGGAGATCACGGGAGAATAAACTTAAAGTAAAATAAAGTAGATAGAGTGAACATTAAAGTAAAATAAAGTAGGTAGAATAATAACAGTAACAGAGAACTAAGAAATAAATAATAATAACGGCAACAAAGTACGAACCAATGAAATAAACATAATCAAAATAAGGTAACATAAGAAATGAAAAATGTTAATCTTAGAATAAAATGTAAAACAGAGAAATGAAATACGAAGTTATATAATGAAACACTAGCGGATCCAGGTTTTAATTTTTTTTGGGGGGGGGCTTCAGCCCGAAAGCTTTTTTTTCATAAAAATAACGATAATTACTTTGGAAAAAAAGAAAGAAACTAACTAATTATATGAAATGGTGTTTAAATGATTCATAAAGCCCTTTTAAATGTAATTACACGAACAATAATACTTCGATAGATAATTTTGTAATATGTTTTTCGATAAAACATGGTTATATTTTGCCATTTTTTTGGGGGGGAGGGGAGGGGTTCAGCCCGAAAGCCTCCCTTCTCCCCGTAGATCCGTCCATGTAAGGAAATAATAGATATAAATAGAAAATTAAGATATTGTAAAATCTATCAATAATACATACTACGTATAAAAGCATAAAAAGTTAAAATAATGTAAAAAAACATGAATGAGCATATTTATCAATATATACAAAATATAGATGGAGATATGGAAAATAATGTCGGAAGAAAACTAAGATAAGGAAGATAAACAAATTGTTTATGTTTTCATCTCAGTTTCCACCCGACACTCTATATTCCAATTTATTTCCCTATATTATTTTCAAAGTAGCAGACTACTTATTGCAGTAGTAGACAACAAAATGTCCCCTTTATTACAAATATAAAAAACATGGAAAATTTTTTACGTACGATCATTTTCACTAACGGATCCAGAATTTAATTTTGGGAGGCTTCAGCCCGAAAGATTTTTTTTCATATGTATAAAAATAATTAATATTATAAAAAAGGAAAGAAATTAACTACCTCTATGAAATATTGTCTTCCTATACTAGATAAGGAAAGTATTGCAATCGGGTCAAATTTCCGATATGCGGTTTTCGACGGATCTATACGTTTCAGAGAGCCCTCGAGTCCGAAAAACACATTTTTAGCCATTGGTCTGTCTGTCTGTGACAAGATTTTCTCGGAAACTACTGAACCGATTTTGTTGCTTTTTTTTTTATTTTGTAGGGTTTTGACTACTGATGACTGTGACAGAAATTCGGTGCTCCATGCGCAATATCTTGCGCGCAATAAATGAAAAACGTTTTTCTATAGACTGTAGCGCAAAAACGGCTCTAACGATTTTGATGAAACTTTCCTATAATGTTCTAATCATTGTTCTTTCAATTTTCGTGTATAGACTAAATTCCCGAAAAAATTCAGGAAAAAAAGTTATAAAGAAAAGAATGTTAAGGGGCCTAACTCCCTAAGTATATATTATACAGTAAAATTTATAATAAAACTTTTAAAAGGTAATTAAATTACCAACAAAGCCATATAAAAATCATTCATTTTGGACAACTATTAACGAAGTTACAGATATTCAATTTCTAATGTAAGATTACAGTAAAAAAAAAAGCTTTTGATCAGCAATATTAGAAAGAATTGAAATTTTTACACTGATCTACCTTAAGCCGGTTTACATTGCTTTAGTTTATCAAATAAATCGTACTCAAATCTTATGTTTGATCAATTTTCAGGAAAATGTATCTAGTTCAATTCTTTTTTGTTTTTTTCATGAACATATGTAAAGATATAAAAACTTTTCAGAAATAGGTAGGAAAGTTGTGTGAGTGGACATAACAGATTTTTTTATTGTGTACGAGAAGGCCTGTTCTAATAGTAACAATATCATTCTACTTTTTGATTGTCCTGATCTTTGATCTTAGATCTTAGGTCAGGCAATAAAATGAATTACTATAATAAAAATTATAGTATCTATTTCGAAATATGTTATTTAAAATCAGATACAACTAATAAAGAGTTCATTAATGAGGGAAAGGCCACAAACAATGGGTCATTGATTTAAATCTACATCATAAAATATCAGAGATGTGCCGGTTCAATGGACTTTAGGGGACAAGAAAAAAAAGTTTAGAAAAACTAAGGGTACCAATTTACTTAAATGTATCAGAAATCACAAAGACCAATAAAGGAGAATAAGTAAAATTTTGTCTTGAAAAAGCAATTTAGATTCGTTTCAAGTGTCTTTTAAAACTCTTAAATATGAGTTTTGTAGAAACCATAACTTCTAAATTTTAGTACTTCATTGATATATAGTAATTAGTGGTTAATTATGGATATTTATTATCATTTATTTATTTATTCAATTTTAAAAAATAAACTAATCATATCTTCTTATTTATTTTTTTTTTTTTAGGAAGCTTCTGTTTATATATTTTTCTAAGGTTAAGGCAAAAATACTTCCAATTTTCTTCAGTCCTTTTAATTACATCTATTATATCTAACGTTTCCGGACAATTTTCCCATCCTCAAAATATTCCTTATGTTTACTTGCTTCTGATGCTTGCTTGTGATGTGGCACCAGTTGTCAAAAATTCAATAATTGTCATATCTTTTAGCATATTTTTTGGTGTTACAGATTCATTTCTTGTTCATTATTACACAACCAATATCTCTTGGTTGGTGTAATAATGAACAAGAAATGAATGTGTAATACCAAAAGATATGAAAATTATTGAATTTTTGACAACTGGTGCCACATCACAAAAGCAAGGTAGATAATTGTACAATAGATAG